CAATTTTTGGCCAAATTTTGATAAAAATGTAAGGCTAACCTTTGCATTTTTTTCAATTTTGGCCAAAAAATGAAATCCCTTGAAACTTGCTAGAAAGATGCCTAAGGGACCCTTGAACACATTCCAACTCTATTCGTAGAAAGATTTGCTTTGCAACAGAAAATATGGACCAAAATATGGGGTAAAATCAGTCAAAAATGTTAATTTATTTCTCACAAAATCGATGGTTTTTGCCCAAATCTTCAAAATATTGGATGTTTGAGTTTTGTTTGGTGCTCCTCTGACTTCCAAAGGAAGTTCTGCATTGTTTTGAGAAAAGTCAATTTTTGGCCAAATTTTGATAAAAATGTAAGGCTAACCCCTTGCATTTTTTTTCAATTTTGGCCAAAAAATGAAATTCCTTGAAACTTGCTAAATAGATGCCTAAGGGACCCTAGAACACATTCCAACTCTATTCGTAGAAAGATTTGCTTTTCAACAGAAAATATGGACCAAAATATGGGGTAAAATCAGTCAAAAATGTTAATTTATTTCTCACAAAATCGATGGTTTTTGCCCAAATCTTCAAAATATTGGATGTTTGAGTATTGTTTGGTGCTCCTCTGACTTCCAAAGGAAGTTCTGCATTGTTTTGAGAAAAGTCAATTTTTGGCCAAATTTTGATAAAAATGTAAGGCTAACCCATTGCATTTTTTTTAAATTTTGGCCAAAAAATGAAATTCCTTGAAACTTGCTAGAAAGATGTCTAAGGGACCCTAGAACACATTCCAACTCTATTCGTAGAAAGATTTGCTTTTCAACAGAAAATATGGACCAAAATATGGGGTAAAATCAGTCAAAAATGTTAATTTATTTCTCACAAAATCGATGGTTTTTGCCCAAATCTTCAAAATATTGGATGTTTGAGTATTGTTTGGTGCTCCTCTGACTTCCAAAGGAAGTCCTGCATTGTTTTGAGAAAAGTCAATTTTTGGCCAAATTTTGATAAAAATGTAAGGCTAACCCCTTGCATTTTTTTTCAATTTTGGCCAAAAAATGAAATTCCTTGAAACTTGCTAGAAAGATGCCTAAGGGACCCTAGAACACATTCCAACTCTATTCGTAGAAAGATTTGCTTTTCAACTGAAAATATGGACCAAAATATGGGGTAAAATCAGTCAAAAATGTTAATTTATTTCTCACAAAATCGATGGTTTTGCCCAAATCTTCAAAATATTGGATGTTTGAGTATTGATTGGTGCTCCTCTGACTTCCAAAGGAAGTCCTGCATTGTTTTGACAAAAGTCCATTTTTGGCCAAATTTTGATAAAAATGTAAGGCTAACCCCTTGCATTTTTTTTCAATTTTGGCCAAAAATGAAATTCCTTGAAACTTGCTAAAAAGATGCCCAAGGGACCCTAGAACACATTCCAACTCTATTCGTAGAAAGATTTGCTTTTCAACAGAAAATATGGACCAAAATATGGGGTAAAATCAGTCAAAAATGATAATTTTTTCTCACAAAATCGATGGTTTTTGCCCAAATCTTCAAAATATTGGATGTTTGAGTATTGTTTGGTGCTCCTCTGACTTCCAAAGGAAATTCTGCATTGTTTTGACAAAAGTCAATTTTTGGCCAAATTTTGATAAAAATGTAAGGCTAACCCCTTGCATTTTTTTTCAATTTTGGCCAAAAAATGAAATTCCTTGAAACTTGCTAAAAAGATGCCCAAGGGACCCTAGAACACATTCCAACTCTATTCGTAGAAAGATTTGCTTTTCAACAGAAAATATGGACCAAAATATGGGGTAAAATCAGTCAAAAATGTTAATTTATTTCTCACAAAATCGATGGTTTTTGCCCAAATCTTCAAAATATTGGATGTTTGAGTATTGTTTGGTGCTCCTCTGACTTCCAAAGGAAATTCTGCATTGTTTTGAGAAAAGTCAATTTTTGGCCAAATTTTGATAAAAATGTAAGGCTAACCCCTTGCATTTTTTTTCAATTTTGGCCAAAAAATGAAATTCCTTGAAACTTGCTAGAAAGATGCCTAAGGGACCCTAGAACACATTCCAACTCTATTCGTAGAAAGATTTGCTTTTCAACAGAAAATATGGACCAAAATATGGGGTAAAATCAGTCAAAAATGTTAATTTATTTCTCACAAAATCGATGGTTTTTGCCCAAATCTTCAAAATATTGGATGTTTCAGTATTGATTGGTGCTCCTCTGACTTTCAAAGGAAGTCCTGCATTGTTTTGAGAAAAGTCAATTTTTGGCCAAATTTTGATAAAAATGTAAGGCTAACCCCTTGCATTTTTTTTTCAATTTTGGCCAAAAAATGAAATTCCTTGAAACTTGCTAGAAAGATGCCTAAGGGACCCTAGAACACATTCCAACTCTATTCGTAGAAAGATTTGCTTTTCAACTGAAAATATGGACCAAAATATGGGGTAAAATCAGTCAAAATGTTAATTTATTTCTCACAAAATCGATGGTTTTTGCCCAAATCTTCAAAATATTGGATGTTTGAGTATTGATTGGTGCTCCTCTGACTTCCAAAGGAAGTTCTGCATTGTTTTGAGAAAAGTCAATTTTTGGCCAAATTTTGATAAAAATGTAAGGCTAACCCTTTGCATTTTTTTCAATTTTGGCCAAAAAATGAAATCCCTTGAAACTTGCTAGAAAGATGCCTAAGGGACCCTAGAACACATTCCAACTCTATTCGTAGAAAGATTTGCTTTTCAACTGAAAATATGGACCAAAATATGGGGTAAAATCAGTCAAAAATGTTAATTTATTTCTCACAAAATCGATGGTTTTTGCCCAAATCTTCAAAATATTGGATGTTTGAGTATTGATTGGTGCTCCTCTGACTTCCAAAGGAAGTTCTGCATTGTTTTGAGAAAAGTCAATTTTTGGCCAAATTTTGATAAAAATGTAAGGCTAACCCTTTGCATTTTTTTCAATTTTGGCCAAAAAATGAAATCCCTTGAAACTTGCTAGAAAGATGCCTAAGGGACCCTTGAACACATTCCAACTCTATTCGTAGAAAGATTTGCTTTGCAACAGAAAATATGGACCAAAATATGGGGTAAAATCAGTCAAAAATGTTAATTTATTTCTCACAAAATCGATGGTTTTTGCCCAAATCTTCAAAATATTGGATGTTTGAGTTTTGTTTGGTGCTCCTCTGACTTCCAAAGGAAGTTCTGCATTGTTTTGAGAAAAGTCAATTTTTGGCCAAATTTTGATAAAAATGTAAGGCTAACCCCTTGCATTTTTTTTCAATTTTGGCCAAAAAATGAAATTCCTTGAAACTTGCTAAAAAGATGCCTAAGGGACCCTAGAACACATTCCAACTCTATTCGTAGAAAGATTTGCTTTTCAACAGAAAATATGGACCAAAATATGGGGTAAAATCAGTCAAAAATGTTAATTTATTTCTCACAAAATCGATGGTTTTTGCCCAAATCTTCAAAATATTGGATGTTTGAGTATTGTTTGGTGCTCCTCTGACTTCCAAAGGAAGTTCTGCATTGTTTTGAGAAAAGTCAATTTTTGGCCAAATTTTGATAAAAATGTAAGGCTAACCCATTGCATTTTTTTTAAATTTTGGCCAAAATATGAAATTCCTTGAAACTTGCTAGAAAGATGTCTAAGGGACCCTAGAACACATTCCAACTCTATTCGTAGAAAGATTTGCTTTTCAACAGAAAATATGGACCAAAATATGGGGTAAAATCAGTCAAAAATGTTAATTTATTTCTCACAAAATCGATGGTTTTTGCCCAAATCTTCAAAATATTGGATGTTTGAGTATTGTTTGGTGCTCCTCTGACTTCCAAAGGAAGTCCTGCATTGTTTTGAGAAAAGTCAATTTTTGGCCAAATTTTGATAAAAATGTAAGGCTAACCCCTTGCATTTTTTTTCAATTTTGGCCAAAAAATGAAATTCCTTGAAACTTGCTAGAAAGATGCCTAAGGGACCCTAGAACACATTCCAACTCTATTCGTAGAAAGATTTGCTTTTCAACTGAAAATATGGACCAAAATATGGGGTAAAATCAGTCAAAAATGTTAATTTATTTCTCACAAAATCGATGGTTTTGCCCAAATCTTCAAAATATTGGATGTTTGAGTATTGATTGGTGCTCCTCTGACTTCCAAAGGAAGTCCTGCATTGTTTTGAGAAAAGTCAATTTTTGGCCAAATTTTGATAAAAATGTAAGGCTAACCCCTTGCATTTTTTTTAAATTTTGGCCAAAAAAATGAAATTCCTTGAAACTTGCTAAAAAGATGCCCAAGGGACCCTAGAACACATTCCAACTCTATTCGTAGAAAGATTTGCTTTTCAACAGAAAATATGGACCAAAATATGGGGTGAAATCAGTCAAAAATGTTAATTTATTTCTCACAAAATCAATGGTTTTTGCCCAAATCTTCAAAATATTGGATGTTTGAGTATTGTTTGGTGCTCCTCTGACTTCCAAAGGAAGTTCTGCATTGTTTTGAGAAAAGTCAATTTTTGGCCAAATTTTGATTAAAATGTAAGGCTAACCCCTTGCATTTTTTTTCAATTTTGGCCAAAAATGAAATTCCTTGAAACTTGCTAAAAAGATGCCTAAGGGACCCTAGAACACATTCCAACTCTATTCGTAGAAAGATTTGCTTTTCAACAGAAAATATGGACCAAAATATGGGGTAAAATCAGTCAAAAATGTTAATTTATTTCTCACAAAATCGATGGTTTTTGCCCAAATCTTCAAAATATTGGATTATTGAATATTGATTGGTGCTCCTCTGACTTCCAAAGGAAGTTCTGCATTGTTTTGAGAAAAGTCAATTTTTGGCCAAATTTTGATAAAAATGTAAGGCTAACCCCTTGCATTTTTTTCAATTTTGGCCAAAAAATGAAATTCCTTGAAACTTGCTAGAAAGATGCCTAAGGGACCCTAGAACACATTTCAACTCCATTTGTAGAAAGATTTGCTTTTGAAAAGAAAATTTGGACCAAAATATTGGGTAAAATCGGTAAAATTCGTTTATTTATTTCTCACATAAATCTTCAAAATATTGGATGTGTGGGTATTAACCGGTGCTCCTCCGACTTCCAATGAAATTTCTGCATTCACAGAACTGAACCCCTTGCAAGGCTAACCCCTTGCAATTTCGTTTAATTTTTTTAGGAAAAAAAGGAATTTCTTCAAACTTGCAGGACACATGCCTCAGTAACCCTAGCACACATTCCCACAAAACTGCCTTACAGATTATTAAAAAAAAACTTTCCAAAACCAGGTTGGAATACAACAGAATATAGGTTTTGAACTTTTTTTTTTCTTCTACTTTTGTCAAATACAACTCTGTACCATAAAATATTCCTAAAAATAGGTCACTATTGTTTTTTTTTAGGTCACCGGCTACATCGTTTAAGCACTGTATTAATCTTGATACAATGCAAAATGAGACTCGTGTTTTATTTGTCAAATACAGTACAATATTTACTCAACACAAATGGGGGAAAAATTGAATGAAATTGGAGGCTTCAGGACTATCAATGTTGAAGGTTAAGACCATTAACCAGTTGGCGCCGGGTTTTTTTTCGACAAGAACGGAACGAGGCGCGGGATTACTTTTCACTCGACCTCAAGCCAGGCGGGTTGAAGCCATCACCTGCGGGCAGCACACTCATATTTCCAGCCTCACTCACTGCGAGCAGATCGCAGACAGATATTTTCAGCCTCGTTCCCTGCGTGTTTATCTGTCAATCGTTACAAGTACCGCAAAACCTTTGCATGTATACAGGTCATCTGGCGCGAACTGGTCAAGTTAAGCTGTACATATACCTGAACGCACTTCCAAAATAAATTAAAAATGTAACGACTACATGTTCTTAAGTCCTAGCGACTATTTAACAGCATTTGCACAAGCAAGACACTGTTTTACAATAATAGATGTCTACAGTTGCCTCTAAAAAGAAAAAAAACCCACAACATCGCAAAGACCAATAACATATCCCTGGTTCGTTCTGCTGTATTACATTCTAATTGTACACAAGTACATGTTAAAATTAGGTCATCATTTTCTGTCTTTTCTGCTGCCACCGTATCTGTCAGCCCTATCGTCACTATAGTTCTTAGAGTTTCTGTTACTCTGTTCCCGGTCTCGTCTGTCCTCCCTTCTGTCTTTCTCGACTTTGATCCGTGGGGTCTCCCTCTCCCTTGAGTCGCGGTCTCTGCGAGAGAGCTTGTGGGAGGAACGATCGGAATCATCACGATCATGTAACTCACGACGATCGCGAGAAACGTGATCAAGATCTTGCCTGGCAGGTTTGGATCTTCCGCGTCTGTCCTCGTCATCGTCCTGCCGCTGTCTGTGACCGTTCTGGCTTCTGTTACGATCTTCAGATGTTCGCTCTTTCTTGATACTGCGGCCGTGCTCGCCAAGCCCATCGCTGTGACGCGGATTGTAACTGTCGCGCATCTTTGCGGGTCTGCGTTCTTCCTCGTCATCACTCCCGGAGTCTCTCCTCTTCCGGTTTCCTCTGGAGATGTCTCTCTCTCCGCCGCTTCTCTCCTGCCGCTGTCTTGAGTGAGTCTCCCGATGATGACGATGTCTTCCGTCTGATCTCTCATCACTGCTGCTTGAGTCGCTGCTCGTCTCACGGCTTCTCTTGGGCTTCTTCTCATCTCGGTGGTGTTTCCTTGGCCTGTCATCCGAGGAGCTGCTGTCGCTGCGTCGTCGTTTCTTGTGGCCCTTCTTTTTCTTGTGTACAGATCCAGAGTGCTTCTTTTCCATGCGGTTCAGTTTCCTAGTAAATCAAAAACACAAAGAGTGTCTTTTAATACTTGGTTCTACCCTTGGTGGACGTAACTTAAGCAATGCATACTCTGTTGCTCAAGAGTTTGTTACTGGAACTCCTGCTTTCTAGTTTAGATGTCCTAATCACTTGACCACTGAGACTGCTGGAGTCAGCTTGCCAATTAGAAACCTATACAGTGCAGCAGTCAATGACTTGAAAAATGTTTTTTTTTGTCAGGGAGATGTCGATATTAACTGTTGGTTCTTCCCTCTACTGAAGTAATTTTATAAGAGCTCTGATAGTCTACCGCAACCAAAGCATTAATATTTAGCCTGTTTTGAACTGGTTGAGTCATTTTGAAAGGAGCAATGGCTCTCTACTCTGGCTTACTTGAGGAGTTTCTTCTTTTGTTTCTTGGTCAACGAGCTCAAGAAGGCTTCCTCTGGCGGAGGTCCATCATCGGAATCGTCATCGCCAACTAAATCCTTTCAAGACCAAAAAAAAAGAGGATAAATTCATTAGCCACTTGCGTGTGTATTTGCATTTCTTTCTTAATCAAGAACTGGGGAGTAATCTTTTTAGAATGACAAAAAGACACTCCCTCGTTAACTAAACACAACTGAACAAGAATCTAAAAGTGTCTTCTTAAGACGTACCCTACTGAATTTGGCATCGTCGATGCTTCTCCCGAGCACGCTCTGTTTGAAGGCGTAGCCGTCGCGTCGCATGTCTTCCACTAGCTGATCCTGATGAACGGATCCCTCTGTTGGCTTCTCCTCTGTGGTCTTGTACATGGGACACTTTGGGGAAAAGGATAAAACATTTGAAGACATGGGTTAAATTTCTAGGGATGGTAAGCAAATTTGCTTAGCACTCATGTCATGTGATTGATCTTTCTTGTGACCGTTTGCTAGCAGATTTAGCCAGAACATTTCTTAAACCTCCTGCTATCTGAACAATCACAGACAGTCAAAACAATGAATGGGACTGATGTTCCTCTTAATACAAAATTCTGATATAACAAACAATTTGGCTAGGTCTGAGACTCGACTGTAGTCAAAAGCGCCATACCTCCCTGTCTGTAGGGATGTGGCCCATCTGGTTGCACTTCACGCACCGGACGTTTCGCACCCCTGCCCCACCGTCTAGCCCAGACCCGCCCGCCATCGAGTCAGACCCCTGGGCCGGCGCGGCTCTCTTCCAGACCAACTTCCCGTCCGTTTCCTTCTCCGCTTCCTTCTGGTAGGCCTTGGGAGCCTCGTAGATGAACGTCAAGCCGTGCTTGACTCGCTCGTCGCCCATCAACTGTCTGGATGTTCAGAAATCAACAGAGAATTTAGTTTAGCTTTAAACATTTTTATCCATACTTCACAGGGCACTTTTTTTCCAGATTTGGATCCAAGGCCTGGGGTACTTCCAAGACTGTAAGGTTTTTACAATTCTTACAGATAGACCAGTATAAAGTTGCTGTGGCAGACAATTGTCAATTTTGTTTATAACTCTTAACTCCCCAGTATTTCATATGTATTATCTTGACATGGCTAGGTACCTGTAGGGTTGGAATTGGTTCAAATCCCTGAAATGTAATACGGTACGACATGGTAAACTTTATGAGAATTTCGCTTACTATAATCACAGGAATCTCCACTAGGCCGTCTGTCATAGTTGGCTGTCGACTGAGAGCACTTTAATTCTCTTGACCAACCACAGTACGGCTTTCAACAAGCTTTTTCTTTCTCTCATGTCGTCGAATGAAAGCCGCCCCGTAGTTGGTCAAGAAAGTTATGGCGCCCTTTCAGTCGACAACCAACTATGACAGACAGCCGAGTGGAGATTCCTGTGATCTTGGTATAAGTGAAATTCTCGTAAATTTCACCATGTCGTATGACATTTAAGGGATCTGAACAACCCTATAGGTACCGAGCCATGTCAAGATAATACATGTGAAATACTGGGGCCGTGAATTTTGTGACAAGAGTTATAAACGAAATTGACAATTGTCTGCCACAGCAAATTTATAGTGGTTTATCTGTAAGGTTTGTAAAAAACCTTACAGTTCTGGAAGTAACCTTTAAACTTGGAATACAGTTTTGCAACTCTCTTGTCTTGTTACCAGATGCATTTTCCAGAAACTGACTGGTTTAAGAATCTGGAATGCTGAATTGTAAACACACAGCAACCAATGTACAATGGTGTGCCAATGATTAGATGTTGTTATTGGCTGATATTACTTGTAAGGCCTACCTATTTCCTGAAATAGTGAACTACTGACATGAAATGTTATTGCCTCCTTGTCATGGTGGGGGAGGGGGGTGGGGGAGAGGGGGTGAGGGAGAGGGGGTAGGTGGGGATGGAATGAGGGTGACAGGAGTGTCTCACCTGTTGTTGTAATGGTCCTGATCTCTCTCGTACTCCTCTCGTAGTCCATCTTGTTTTTGCGTCTCTTCTTTTACACGCTGTTCAGCAAGCCAAACCTGTGGACAATTTAATTTAAGTCTTAATAAGATACACAAACATGACAAAGGTGGCACATGTTTATTTTCTCAAATAATATTTAATACATCAAAATATGAATACTTTTCAATACTGAACGGAAATGGAGGCCTAACGATTTAATCAAACATCAAATCTTACTTTTTGTCGAGGTAGATTTCATTTTCTTCTTCATAATCAATGAAATCAGGGGCTTTGTCTTTGGAGGATTTCATAAATGGGAAAGAAAGTCCAAGAACCATTCGGTTGATAGCTGGTTCTAAGAGCAAAAGATCCTGACGTTGAATACAGGGAACCGGACGGTCGTCTGCCGTAACAATATCCAATGCATTCGACCTGTTTGATGGGGCGACTTGTAGGCCCCTACGCCTACGGTGAATGGGGCACACTTTAAATCTTTAACTTGAGCAATTTCAAGAGAATTCCTATTCCATAACAGATTCAAATTTAATCACACAAAGAACCAGTTTACATTTATGTACTTACCCTTTTAATATTTGCAAAAGAAGAAGGGTGGAAGAACTTTTTACACATGAAATTCGCGAAAGATTTCCCCATCTTGCTTGTCTACGATGCTCAAACGTACACGAAATATGAAATTGCGCCCTCTGTTGTCAGATCGTTGACAGGTTAATATGACGTCTTACCAAGAATGCTGAGAAAATTCCATAACAACAAAGGGGGTTATTATTTAGTCGCCAATTTTACTCAGCTGGTTTTTAAATTGTAAAAATTCAATCTCCGCATTCTTATTCATAAGCAAATAGTAACATCAACTTTTCAAATATTTCGTTGAATTCTAATGAAACTGTACTTAAATAATCTAGGTTTAAAATCTCTATTTCATAGGGTGATTGACCCGTTTCAGAATGGTTCCATCTAAATTCTAATGACGCAAACCAAAACATTGTAAACATAAACATGGACGAATACGGGGAAGGAGTTGTCGTAAATCCGGTCAAGAGCAACTTTTCTGACGCCGAAATGAGAGAATCGGAGCGCCAGGCCGAGGTCAAACATCGAGAGCAGAGACTGAGGCAGTTTCTGGGCCCACTTGAGGGGTTCATCATGTCCGTTCAGAGCCTTCTTGTGTGGGAAAAACCAGCCCGTAGCGCGGTCATGGTGCTGTGTGTGAATGGGTTATTTTGGTGAGCATGAGTGAATGAGTAACTTTTTCTTCAATCATGTGACATTGAACTCGATCGACACAAAAGGCGATCGTTACAATTGTTTCCTTTTGTGAGGGGAACATGACAAAGAAAGTCCCCAAACTGGGCAATCGTGTACATGGTGTAGTTTATCAGTTTATGACTCCGTTCCAAATACATGAAATAAGAGAACGAAATTCGAAAAGACACTTTTAATTTTATGTTTTTGGAATTAAGTTAAAGTAGGCCTACCTAAACATTTTGCTTTGTATATGATCTGATGATACCAAGCAGGAAAAGTCTGTTTAGGTGTTTATAATCATCTAAATAGTTCGCTAATGTTAAATATCGGCTAGCTTAATTTTGTTGAAAGAGGGCAGGGTTTTGATTTATCATGTTTATCATGTGCCTGTTTATGACGGATTCTTGGTGAGTTTGTAATAAGTTGACTTGTTAGATCATTCTTTTTCAATCCTGCAATTCATTTCTCTGAATTTGTCCTGAAAAGAAATGAGCCGGGCTCACCCTATTCTGTGGCCACATACTGGACTCCCTTCGTAAAGGAGGAAATGGCCTGATTGTGACAAATTAATAATTTTGTTATTCATACTGATAATTACAGTGTATAATGAAGTTCGGTGGGAGTTTGCCCTTTTTTGGCTTAAATTCCTAGTTTATACTCATGATATTTCTAGTCATTCCAGACAATTAAAGACCATAAGTGTTGCTATTGTTTGTCATACCAGGTTGGCCGTCACTACGCACTACCGTGCCGTCTTCCTGGGAGCAGTCTCCTGCATGGTCTTTGTTTCCATGGAAACTATACGGACAAAAGTGTGGCCAGAGATAAGAGGTATGGCTTATAAAAATCTTCTTGAATTTGTACTTTTATTGGTGAAGGCCAGTAATCAGGATGGCCATGCATCTAATTAGCTTCCTTAGAAGGAATTAAAAAAAAAAAGAGCACAGTACACCTTGACCTTGACATATAAAACTCCGATCTCCTTGATTAATGTATGGACAATTTATAGATGTCAGGGAATTGTAAGGTCAGGGTCTAGCGGGCTTGCACCCGTTCACGGATGTGTAAGGGATTGCAAACAGAATGTGGACTAACTAAATTTGGTAAATTGGGGCAGTATTTGGAGAAAAAAAAGCCGTTGTTTTTTTCCAACAGTGGTCAGCCGACCATCCTTGAGAAATTCAAAAAAACATTTCACTTTTCTAGAAAATGACAGCAGTCACAGCACACCAGGTGCCATGATTTAACAGGATGCTTGAGACTGTTATTTAGTAACAGTCAAGTAAGGTTTTTCATAATAATTTGGTTGTATTGTTTTTTATGTTTGCACATGTTGTGTATGTACAGTCGACTCTCATTAGTACAAACTCTGTTAATACAAAATTCTGGTTATAGCAAACATAAAGTCTTGGTGACGTCCCGACTGTAAAGTTATGTGCACAATGAATGGGTCTGATGTTCCTCTTAATACAAAATTCTGATACAACAAACAATTTGGCTAGGTCCGAACGAGTTTGTTATAATGAGAGTCGACTGTATTGCCTTTAAACTGCCGAAAACTGGGTATTACCAGATGAGTCATTTTTGGAGATAAATATGATAAATGTCTGTGATAATGGATTTTCTCCTTTTTCACAGTTCCTCGGCCAGATGACGATGATGAAGGGTGAGTTTATACTTTGCCTTTTCCAAATATCAAAAAATTCTGGCTGGATTTCAGAAACACAGACTTGCAACTTTTTGTTAAAAAGAACCAAAGACTAGTTTTTTGTTTTTCTTTACAGTCACAATGATTTGGATCACACGCTTTTGAACACTTATACTCAGTGCTTTCCGAGAGTTACTAAGAAATGACCGACAAGGATGAGATGTGAACCCACAACTTCTGCTTGCTAGTGCAGACATCTTGCCACTCAAGCATGTAGTTGCCAGTGTCGGCTGGCTCGTTTAAAATGATTTTCATTTTCCTTTTTTGTTTAGTTGGACCCCTGTCCATGCAAAGCTACTAAGTCTTCCGGAGCTGTGTGAACATACAGCCAGGTTGTGGGTTACCATGGAAGGGCTGAATACCAGGATGTGGAAGCTCCGCAGAGAGCACCCATCGAAGGTGAGTATGTCTGGAGGCCGGTCAACTGCCATTCAGTTTTGTTTTTAAAAATCTGCAGATGCAGTTGCAAGAGCCTGTTAATATTTGCTTTTTAAAGAACACGCTAGGATCCATGTCATAAGTTGAATTCATGCAGCTGCTAAGTACGGAAAGTTGCTAATCACAGAGAATAATTTGCTTAGCAGAAACAGGTTACCAGCCAACATTGCGTTCCAATGTAATGCTTGAGACAGGTCCCAAGCTGATTTGTACTTGGTGGAGAAGTTGGCTAAGCAGAAGTGTCTGCTTTCCATGGAAATGTCTTTGAAATTTGATCTTGCGAGCGCAGTGGGTGTTAAGGAAAGGAAACAATGTCAAAGTGGGAAGATTTGATAGGAAGGTCCATAACAGGGGAAATGGTACCTCGTTGTAAATGTAGTGTTTATTTTTTATTTTTTTCAGTTTTGCCTGTATGTATGTAGCTTGTGCCTGGTGATGGCAGCCGTTGGACATTACTTCTCAGGGGTCTTCATATCCTACCTGATTGGTAAGTTTTCTTGACTGCGGCTACTAGGTCCTTTTGTAAGGTCTTCCATGTCTATAGCAAGGTGAGCCATGGCTAGGTCCCGACTATGGTTAGGTGTCGACTATGGCTTGGTCTTTCATGACTATGGTAAGGTCCTGCATGTAGTTCCTCAGACTATGGTTAAGTATGGCTAGGTTCTGCATGACTGGCCAGGTCCTCCATGACTGTGGCCAGGTCCTCCATGACTGTGGCCAGGTCCTGCATGACTGTGGCCAGGTCCTGCATGACTGTGGCCAGGTCCTGCATGACTATGGCCTGGTCCTGCATGACTGTGGCCAGGTCCTGCATGACTGTGGCCAGGTCCTGCATGACTATGGCCTGGTCCTGCATGACTGTGGCCAGGTTCTCCATGATTGTGGCCAGGTCCTGCATGACTGTGGCCAGGTCCTGCATGACTGTGGACAGGTCCTCCATGACTATGGCCTGGTCCTGCATGACTGTGGCCAGGTCCTGCATGACTGTGGACAGGTCCTCCATGACTATGGCCTGGTCCTCCATGATTATAGCTAGGTCCCATCTAAGGCAAGATCTTACACAACTGTGGTTAGGTCCTCCGTACCTTTGAGTAGGTCCTCTAGATTTACTTATAGGTCTTCTGCTAACAGCTTAAACCTGTACATTTGTACAGCTGCTTCATCTTTTGAGACTCAGTGTCCATCTTGTTCTTATTTCCAGTTACTGGCCTTCTTCTATGGCCTGCCTTGGAATACCACAACGTCACAGGTAGTCTGTATCAGCGTATCGGGCCAATACTACAGCAGTTGGACCATAGTATCGACAGTCCTCGCCGAGAAAAGAAAAGAGGTGAAAACTTATTAGTTGTTTGCTTTGTGGGAATAAAAAGAAATTGTGGATCCGAGTTACTAAATCAAAAGCAGTGTAAAGCAAGGAATCAATTAAGTACGTATCTTTTGACTCCCACAGCTCAAAAGAGAGCAAGGAACAGGTCTAATCCCACCGCTGACACCGACAGCAGCAGCGATAGTGACTTGGATGAGTTTTGCCCCACACCAGGGCCAGCAGTTGATGCAGCACTTGCCCACGCCGCTGGGCGATCGGCTCGGAATAGCAGTGGGACCTCAGTGGGTCTGTTTGGGGGTCTGTCAAAAGGACTTTCACTGGAATTTACCGATGATGGTAAGGTAGATTTTATAAGACGCCTTCCTGAATCCTTTAAAATCCAATACTGTACAGTTACATAATGACACAGTCTTTGTACATCAATCGTCAAGTAATGTAATAGTGGCTGGGCTCTACCTCCTCCCATATTAAACTCCTGCAAACTCCTCGCTAAGCTGATGGATTTGGAAGAATCTGCAAGCTCCGAAAGAAGCTCAGAGAAATGACATCCCTGGTTTTGATTGCCATTTTTCTGCAGAATTCACCGACACTGAACCACCAAGCTACATGGGTGGCCTTTCCCAAGTCCCATCCTTCGACAACACAGCCTATGACCACAGCGCCGATGAACTAGAAATAGACCTGCCTTACGACGATCACCCACCAGTTCCAGGGAATCCGGAGAAAAGCAAGGAACAAGGGGGAAGAGAAAAACAGAGAAGCCCAGAAGGGATGCCATTCGACCCATCACACTTCCGGGATTCGACAGACGTGGACGAGGCCCTGGCAGAGGATTTGGAGTTCCCTGACGTGGAGGCAGATGGGAAATTGGGACGGCAAAACTCTAGAGGGAAGCAGACTAGGGATGAGCCGCTGTTGCCGCCAGGTGCTGCGATGCTCTTGTCGCACACTGTCACCTCTTTGATGTCCGACGTCTTGACAAAGCTACAAGACATGGGCTCCCAAGATGACAACTCTTCGACTTCGGAACCATCTCAGGTCCTACGTCAACGAAAGTTGCCCGAATCTGAAACCAGCATGGACAGGAATCCATCGCCACCGAAACTACTAACAATGGACTCTGATTCGACCGACTTTGAGATGTTGGACAGGGCGGAGCTTGAGCAGGAAGGAGGGCAGGTAGCAGGAGAGAAGAAAGACGAGGCAAAACCGAGGAGAAGTGGTTATGGTATTGGGCTTCTAACATCTTGGCTAAGTGGAAAGAAATAGATATGTGAGCTGATTTTGTGAGATGTACAGCTACTCCCAAATCCATGTATTGTAAAACACAATGTAAAACCACTATGAGATAACTCGTTTCAAACATTGGTTGAAGGGTTTTTGAATGTTGGTAAGACTTTCACAATTTTGCTTGTGTGTTATCACCCTTTTCTTTCTCAATATTTGAAATTAACAATATTGCCACAATTGGAATGAAATATTCAGAAAACAAAAGTGCTGCACGATGTAATATTTTCCCAGGAATTTCCCAGAAAATAGTTGAATACATAATAATCTTATAGGGTAGAGCAGGCATTATTTTAAAAAATTAACAATTATTTTAAGAACGTCAACCTCAATCCATGTAACTAAGGTGGTGAAAGATTTTATCGGGTAAAATTGTAGTTTTAAGAAATACTAATTCTTATTCATTTTAAGTGTTTTACTTGTATTTATTGAACAAGTTTCAATAATCCTGTCCATATTTCTGAATAAATAAAAAAGAAACAAGTGGAAACTTTGCGAGACCGTAGATCAGGGTGCTGCCAATCGATAAGTTATCCTGGTTTTTTTTCTCAGTACAGTCGAACACCTTTATAACAAGGTCCTTGGGACTTTACAAATGACCTCGTTATATGAGGTACCTTGTATTATCAGTAACGGAAAACAAAGAAAAACAAAGACTTGGGACCAAAAGTTTTGCTTGTTATAAGCAGGACCTTGTATTAACGGTGCTCTTCTTATCAGGGTTTGACTGTATTTCCCAGAATTGGGACACTGAAACAAAGCTGATCCTGTCTTTGTATGTACTTAATTTAGATCTTTGGCACAAGTTGGTTAAGCGTAACTTGTAGAAAAATGTACGATCGAGTATTCCACTTTTGCAAGACCTTGAGCAGGCAACCTTGGTTTTCGCATTCATGTCAAAATTTCTCTCAATATTTGTCTCAATTTTCGTTTGAAAAGGTGTAATCTTTTTTCTCCAGTATGTCAGACTTTTTAAAATATATTTTAATACATTGTTAAAAGGAGGTGTTCATGTATTTAATGTCAAAGTTATTAGTCAGTCTAGAAGGGTGGTCTACTTCATGAACTTTCATTGTTTTAGTTGCACAAATGAGATATTCTAAAGAATCAGATCATATCGAGTCTCCCCATCGCCTATTTTTAAAATTAGATACGAGTTGTACTAAATATTGTGAAATGGATTGCATTAAATAGTGAAATTGATCAATTTGGTGGATAATAGAATAAAACTGGTTGGAAAAAAATGTGTGGTTTTTTTTTTTTTTGTAATCCGATACAGGTACTGTATCTTTGTACATGTATCAATGTTTAGGCATACACGGTACCACTTGCATTAGGCAAACTGAGACAAAATGTCCCTTTCACATTTTCTTGTATTTTTTCCATGTATTTTTTGGCTGTTGGGTGTACACTCTAGAAAAATCTGGTTTTTTTGCATCCATTTGCTACTCAAAAGAGATGCTAAATAATTCAGATTTTTCCTCCAACCAACCGAGTGATTTTGTTACACAACAAAATAAAAGACTCATTTGCACCATTATATACGCTTCCCTCAGATCATCCTGTGGATTTATTTCTCAAATTCAAAACTGAAATTATCTCCGGTAGCAAATGAGGAACATTGTCCAGACCACAGGGTAAGCGTTGTAGCCGTCGTACGGTTGGCCCAGTGTGTGTTGATGGCATGGCATATCCCAGTGGTGTTGCATGTGAGTCGTGAATTCCCGATCATAGTTACATTAAATCTCTTGTAGTCCGTATCCTGAAAACTGTCTATGTTTCCTTCATTTCACGGAGGCGGCGGACGGCACTCCGGACTGTTGCTGCGGCAGAGGTGCTGTTGGTAAAAAAAACCACGATCAAAAACATTTTGGATTAAAAGCAACATATTAACCCAAAATCTGGTATTGTTAATAGGAGCTTTCCTGGAGAAATCCTCTGCATTTAACCTATCGGGGTAGAATCACGTGAACTCGGCTTGTAAAATATTGTCCAATTATATACAGACAGGGGTTTTCCTTAACTTTTTCCTTTACTGGCCGGCCGGGCCAGTAAACCAGAGTTTTCACTGGCCCGCAACCTTTTTCACTAGCCCACATGTTTTATAATAGTAACTTTCAATCAAATCACCATAAGCATTTTTGATAACATTTTTGATAATAAATTATGCAATATGAATACAATCGGCAATTATCTTAATCATGTACATAATATTGCATGTAGTTCCTTTTTAAGTGATGTCAATGTTTCTTTAATCGTCCATGCTTTAACATAGAGCAAGGCTTTAATTAACAGGAATCAAATAGGGGGAGAAGTTATAATCAAAATTTATGCAGTGTGCTTCGTTCCGAACTTAAGGCTTTAGGTGTTCTATTTCCGACATGTTTTGATAAAACACGAACTAAAAAAGCGTTATCTTGAGGAACAAGAAAACATTGCACACAGTCGTGGTATTAATGGGAGTTTACCAAGTTAGTAACTGAACTGTTTTAACTTGTTTGAAAATGAGTGAGAAGGCCAGTATTTTCAAAAAAACATCTCTCGCGCGCGCCATGCATTTCTAGCGAAGAATGGTGCAATCAGCGTGCCTAGCCAAGAAGCGCTGCGGGCGGGCGACCCACGAACTTACGCTGGTCACGTCAATCCATAACGTTTTCCGGAGCACGGTCCACTTTACATTCACTAGTCTTTACATTCAAAATAGGCCCCTCGAATCTCATATTGTCCTCATCTTTTCGGTACATTCGTTTGATAGTGTTCAAGAAATCATCCCAAGAATCCGTTCGGGCACAAGTTTTGGCAGTGAAACTGTCATGAAAGTTTTCTCCTCACCACGTTGTATGATACGAATACGATGTTAACGTACGTACGTACGTCCGTACCGTGTGGACTGACTGCAGACGAAGTAAATCACGTGCGCTGCATGTGTGCACAATGTGTAATGGCAAATACACGTTGATTCGCCTCATGTTCGTCGTTGGGATTTAATGCACAGCGCACTGCGAATATACATGGAGTGATACGAATTCGAACTACCGATGTTTTTATTTCGGTCGGCGTGGCAAAAGTATTCATGTGTTGTATCACCCTTAACTTTTCATTTTGATTGATTGAAAAATACTGTAGGGAAAACTTCGTTATTTTATTTTTTTTAACAGTTTTCTGACTCGCCCGTCGGACTACTGAGAGGAGGGTTTTGACTCGCCCGCCGCTGTTTTCACTCGCATTTGGCGAGCGGGCGACCGCTAAGGAAAATCCCTGACAGATGGACGTGGAACGCGCAAAATCTGAGACAAAAACATTTTTTTAATGTACAAAATTCAAAAGGGTCGTCTAAGGGGCGTGGCTAATTCGCAAACAGCAATGGGTCAATTCATCACCGAGACTTAAGTCAATGGCACTTTTTACACTAAAACTTAGAGGAGTATCAAGTTAAACTTTTGAAAGTGCCAAGCTCTATAGACCTTATGCGTTAAGGCAGCGCCGGAGGGCAATGGTTTTTGTATTGCTTGGACAGGCATAAGGCCAAAAAAAAAAAGTCTCCGGTTTCTTGGATGGAGCTTGCCCAAAGAGTGGTGCGGCGACACGGTTTTTTTTTTTTTTTACCCGACTTTTTTGCTTCAAATGTTGGCTGATGACTGCAAATGGTGCCCGACTAAACTTAGTACAAATAGGCCTATATGGGATTGGGAGTCCAGAGAGGCCACATAAAGCTTATTCTCAACCATAACTCCATCTAAAAACACGTTAAAAATGTGCTGCAGCAGGATTCCAGTCAAACCAGTGAGTTTGGCGGTTTTGAGACATCATCTTTCATTGAAAAAAAAACTTTTTCATTTTGCCGACGCGCATGGCTACAGCGACGCGCGCGCATACCAGAAACCGGAGACTTTTTTTTTTTGGCCTTAGTAGCCTTTTTTAGCATTCATTGTTACTGGATTTAAATAACAATGAACACCCTCTGAGATACCTCTAACGCACAAGGCCTATTGTCAACAATCCCACGAAACCCTTCAAATCCTCCTGGAGGATTTTGAAAGATCCAGGAGGGTCAGACATCCCGTTTCAAACGTTTCATGTTTTTCTGCCAATGTATAAAATCTGATTCAAAGTGCACGACAGGTCTTCATTAGGATGTCATGCAACCACGTTTTTAAACCTAACCACCCCCAACCCTTCAAAATCCAACTGCATGTTTTGTTGGAATCTGTTGAAGCGAATACTGCACTAGTAAACTGATTTTGCTTTACATGGGGTTGGCACACCGCCATACATCAGAGTCCAACAGTTTGCGTGTATGAGTTGCCATTATGGTGTTGGATTTTGCGAGACTGAGGAAGGATCCTAGTAAACACTAACAAGGGTTAGTGTTAAATTTCTTCATACCAAAAAGGTTTTCTTTACCAATCAGAAAGAAGATACAGCAACCCTGGCTCTTTAATCACAGGGTTGAGCAAGCAGCGAGGTTTTTTCCCTAGGGTAGCCAAGCTTACCTGTAGACCCATGCACCTCCAGCGACTACCTTTCGGCAGGCCTTGCAGTGCCAGATGCCCACACACTTCCTCCTCATGGCGTCCTGTTCAAAATAAGACACGAATGCATAGTTACAGGTGAGGCATATGAGGGTTGGTTATGGTGCTTTTTATAGCGAGATAGAAAAGATATTTTCCTACTTCTGAAAACTCTCCGTAAATTTATTTCACCAAATATCTTGGAAAGCACTGAGCAAACTCTGTTAATAAAAATAACATCAGTGAGGCACAAAACTTTTAAAAAAAATAAAAAAAAAAATAAAAATTAGATGATGTCCCATGCCAACAATATTGACAATTTTGTGACTTGTAATACAATTTATACTCTTCATCCCACTGACACACTTGCTTCACACCATGTGTACATAAATCTAATTCGTACAGAGCCAGAAGGCATGTCAACTCTGTTAACCCTCTTGCTGTTTAAAAGGTCACAAACGGTCACAGTTTCCTTCCACTTCCCCTGACATACTTTTAACAAACCAATGGGTCACTTGACCAATATTGACCCAAGTAACAGCATGGCTCAGAATGCATGTTTTCAGGGGAGGGTTTAACCCTAATCATCCCAAATCCTCCAAAATCCTTTTTGCAAATTGGAGGAATTTGCAGGATTGAGGTTACATGGCATAAGTGCATTGCTGATTTCGGGGGACGCACTGTGTCAAGGTCTTGGGCCGGACCTTGTGTTGTATATGCTCAGCCGTGCATAAATTTAGTCCTTGATTATACTTGAAATCCACCACACTGCTCCAGGATGTCACTGGCTCTGCCTCAGCCTATTGACAGTCATAGCCGGAGGATTTTGCAGGATTCAGGCAGTGGTCATCTCTCCATGGACCATATTCAAGAAATAATGGAGGAATTTCCAGGAATGAGGCCATATGGTATTTTTCCATGAGGCCAATTGGAGGATTTTGCAGGATTCAGGCTACATCCTAGCAAAAAGGCCTAGGGAGTTAGGGTTAAAGAACTAGCAAGCTGCATCCTTGCAATGGACTCGTTCTGCCTGTCAATCAATCAGTGCCCATGGCAATGACCAATAAGATCAGGACTATGAAATGTACACAAATCAGCGGTGGGCGGGACTATCGCCACCAAATACAGAGTGGTCCTTTCTAGCATAAACGGTGGATTCTCTCACCTTTCCACAGAAGACACAGGTGTATTTCCCATGCTGCGAGATCTCAATCTTCTTGACCATCTTACGCAGTGAGGCACCGTAGCGTGTGCCATACTTCCCTGTGATGCCGACCTTCTTTGTACGCTTGGCCTAAGAAAGCATGAAAAATATGTAATGAATCATTCATGAGACAAAGGCAAGTAGAAACATACACTGTCACTAGAGGGCCTCTTTCAAACGCTGTTTACATGGCGAGCTGCAAACTCATGGCACTGTTTTCCTTTAAAAAAAAATCTTAAAAAACTTGCTGAAAAATTTGTTAGTGTAATGATATGGAATTATCATCCGAGAAAAAAAAGACAGGGATCATATAAGCTGAAAATGTTAGGCCTGTGGTGTCGTCAGGTTTACTTAACCCAGCGATCGTGTATCTACGGGCCCGGTTCCTTGTATTTAAGGGAGCAAAACACACTTTTAAATTATTTGAACTACCAATCTAGTTGGCGACATTAAGAACATTCGGTATGTCATAAGGGCAGGGTTTTGAATTTTTCAGGAAAATTTTGGGGCAAAATGACGATGACAACGAGAAAAGCAACATAAAAATAAAGGTGGCGATCACCGCGGGATGTACCATGAACGCGCGAGGCGCGCTGGATCGCAAGGCACCAACCGTAATTAAACCGCATAGAAAATTTGTCATTTCTACCCCAAGAAACTGTTCAAAAATTTCAAAAAAAGGGTATCATTATATTCAAAGAAGTCTGCTTTAGGTTGAAAGGGTCATATTTTAGTAATAAAAAACACCCTTGACTCTAATTTGATCAAAACTAGGCCTAAACACTAAATTTAAAACAGGGTCCCTACACTACACGATCGCCCTCTCCCCCCCCCCCCCCCCAAAAAAAAAATTAGCCTACATGCCTAAAAAAAGGAAGTTGTTCTTTGACTTCCCAGGCATACAGGCATGCAACTGGGAAATCACAAAAAAGAGGAAATTCAAACTTTTCCCAGACTTTGTACAGTGTTTTTCTATTTTCAATGGCACACATGCATGACATGGGAAGTAAAAAAAGAGGAAATCAGCTGATCCGAGGAAAAGTTGCATGCCTGGGCATAACATGATGTGGCAGATTTTGTACACAAAAGACGAGGAATCTGCTTTACTATTCTTTGCAATTGCCCCACGTATGACCACTGATGACGGAGCTAGCCAACGCACCAAGGCCAGGGAGCCGAGAGGGGACTACACACTTCAACACAACGCACACCCACAGTTCAAGCAATCGTTACGTTACATTAAATGACTTCGTTTGTCACACTGGAAACATTCTGCACTAAAATAAACAAACAGTTTAGTATAACAAAGTCTTAAGATTTTGTATTTGATATTGAATAAGGATCCTGTCATTTGATTTGCTTGATTTTTACGGATTTATTTGGCGATCGCTCTGTCACTAACCATTATGATTTCGAGCCAAGATGGCAGAGGCAAGGGACTACTGGGTAAACCGAGGTCAGGGGTCATAAAATTATGCGCCCCTAAAATTGATAATAGATTATTCTGGACTTTATTTAATAACTAAAAATATCATCGTTTTCGATTCTTGTTTTGCAGGTTTTATGATTATATTGTACTGAGATATTATTATACACACATTTAAAACTAAATTTTTAGGGATATAAAAAAGCTATTAGTATACATGTATGAAATGAAATGTTCCATTTTACACTTCAGGTGTGATTGCACAATCAGGAATGATGTTGTGCAAATCAATACAAAGTGCATGTACAATGTATGCGCTATGCAGGTTGTGAATTTTCTGCCACAACTTGTGGCTGCGAGACTCGTGAAAGCTGTTTTGCTGTACCTTTCCTGACTATTTTATTTCCATTCTAGAAAGCAGAAATAACACCAGATTGCGGTAATTTTCTTTGCTCACCTTTTGGAAAACATGTGTGTGTGAAGTAAATTGCATGAGCATGCATGTCAATGTCATGTGTTGATTGGGAATTGTATTACTGTTGTGCCCATTCTTGAAAATCACGCATTCTCGAGAATGGGCATGCACATTCTTGAGAATGTGCAACTGGATCCTTGCTCAATCTTGGCAAAAAATAACTCTTCCAGATTGAGCGCACATTCTCGAGAATGCGCGACAAGATAACGGTCTTGTCGATGCCGAGCACCGGCTGCGCTTGGCAAGTCTAGCTGAATCCTCGTTCACTGATTCTCAATAATTATACTGTTGCAACGCAAGGCTCTGAAAAGTAGAGTGGATATGATAAGTAAAGGCGTATTAATATGGGGGGGGGGGGGGGACCGGGAAAATATAAGAGACATAATAATACTAGTGCAAAGAATTCTGATTTTTGGGATAATAAAAGGGGGGGGGGGGGGGGGGACGTAAGAATGAAGAATGTGAAGAATGAGAATGAATACTGCGACATCCCATAGTGCTAATGCTATTTCCCATTTAAATTGCCACCAATTTATTGTTCACATCCCACCATAACGTCGCCGAGCTGGATTCTATCTAGTCAAAAGAGCAATTTTGGCAGCTTCTGGACATCGTTTTTTTTTTGTGGCACGCATATAATACATGCAGGGACTTGTAACTTGTCTAGCCTAACAAAGCACTTCCCAGACTAGTTCCCAGTCCTCCGTTATTACAAAACTTCCCATAGTGGGCAGAAAAAAGCAATAATAACAGGTTTAATTTGATTCAAATTATCGTAATTATACGAGTACAGAAGCATAGCACATTTTCTTTCCTCTTTATATGAATTGTTTCCCTTTTAACCGCTATACAATTCATTTAACATAATTATGTCGTGCAATGTTTGTTAAGATTGGGCAAAATTCATAAATTGTGCACGTGATATTCCCAACCAATCTTAAGAATGAGCGCTCATTCTTAAGAACGCGTGCTCGTTCTTAAGAATGGGCGCTCATTCTTAGAATGCGCGCCCATTCTCGAGAATGTGCATGCCCATTTTCGAGAATGCGTGATTTTCAAGAATGGGCACAACATTACTTTATCATGTGGGTGTGAAAGTGGGTGTCAAAGTTGCATATAATAATTGAAACAAAAATTGCAATAATGTCTCCCAAGTTATTTAATTAACTAAAAATTTAAAGATTAAGTAAGGTCATGGAGTGTTTTTATTCCTCCATGCTATACAACCCACAATTTGTTTTTTGTTTTAAACGAAATAATAATCACAGATCAGGAGCATTTATTATTTTACTGACAGTAGTACCATGGAGGAAGGAATTTTACTACTGCTACTGCTAGTAAAAAAAAAGAATGAAATTATGTTTTGAAATCCCATTTTTAAATCCCTTTGTTTTTACCCTTCTGAAGTGTAGAAATGTCTTCCTTATCCTTCACCTGCATATCCTGCCGAGTGGCATTTGCCAGCGCTGACCTACAGAGGGCTCACTACAAGTCAGACTGGCATCGCTACAACCTAAAGCGCAAGGTGGCTGAGATGGTGCCGGTCACAGCGGAAGAGTTCAAACAGCGTGTGCTTGACAAGCAGGTTAAGATGTGACATGTACCCACATACGACATACCCCAAATCTCAGGAAATTTTGAAGTTATACATTTTTTAACAACCAGCAACTGCCCATCATATCTCATTTTGCTCAAAGTCTCCCAAATTAATTCTTGACGTGGCTTCCAATCCTTATTACATGCAGGCCCAGGCTTCTGTGGCTCAGCAAGATTCGTCATCCTCTTGTAAGACGTGCGGGAAGCACTTCAACACAGAGAACGCGTTCACCAATCACATGCAGTCTAAGAAGCACAAAGAGGCGGAAGCTCGCATTGCTAGACAACAGCAGGCAGAGGTTTGTTTGCAATAGAAAAAATGAAATTGTCTTTAAGTCTGAAAATGTAAGTACAAAAAATATGATTGCAATGATATGCTTTTTTGATTTAGGTCGACAAGAGAAATGCTAAGAACCTTGAGAAAGGACTGGATACGGAACCAGCCTTGGAAACAAAAGATTTAGCTGAAGAAAAGAAATCTGTAAGCAAAGGAGAGACGGCAACGAAGACGAAAACCAGCGGAAGAAAAACAAACCAGTAACAGATCCTGAAGGTGCAGCTGGTTCAAGTCAAGACGTTGGTAAGACCCTTGGTAAATTCGGGTAATTCACAATGCAGTGCGCCACCAAGAGTTTGCCACAGAGAGTTCATTTTTTCCCAGAGCATTGTGGGAGATGGTCGACAAATTCGCAGTGTGGGACAGTTGAAATTGTTAGTTTTTCTGGTCAGTAGTTTGGTAAGCGTATGATTCAATTATGTTTGCCCTTTTCTTTTCTTTTTATCAATATGGCGTTGTAAGGCAGCAGAGCCTATGCCCCTATCAGCAACAAATTAGCTCAAGTTGTCTACTGACACTCATTCAATTGGGCCTTGTTTTGTCGACCATAATTTTGAAAAATGGACTCTTCATGGCAAACTTTTGGTGGCGCCCTGCATTGTGAATCGCCCGAATTGTGGACTGTCTGATTACTTGTTTATTTATTTACTTGTTTACTTCCTCAGCTACTTGCTTGCTTACTTGTTCACATGTTTACCTGTTTATTTGTTTACCTGTCTACCTGTGAATCCATCTACCTGTTTACTTGTTTAGAAATGGCTGACGATGATGATGACTGGGAGGAGATTGAAGGAGACCCCATCGCGATCACCGATTGCCTGTTCTGCAGTCGCTCGTCCCAGTCGGTGGAGAAGAATTGCAATCACATGACGCAGGCCCACAGTTTCTTCCTGCCCAACGTGGAGTACATCTGTGATCTGGATGGTCTACTCGCCTATCTGGGTAGGTGGCAAAGAGTGTTTATTTTCCTGCTTTTATTGAGCTTTATCCATAAACCTCCAGGGTATATTTGCTAGAACCCTGCCAAATGTAGCAACATGGAAAACTTGACTAAGTGACAAGCCTGTCAAATGTAGCAAGATCCATCAGGGGAAAAGTCTCAAGGCAACACTGCCTCAAGAGTCCGTGGTCACCGCACGCAGCAGGATACAACTGTGGCATTGTTCAATGGGACTTAGCTCTCGTTGTTTCAGAGCTGGCCATTCATGCACTGGTGTTGGCAGCTGAATGCATCAAAGTGCACTAGTTCTTTTCCACCTGATGCGCTGTGTTGCGTCTGGCAGGGTTAGGTTTAAGGTGTGTTAGAGGGAAAAATTCCTGATCAAATTTCAGATAGCTTGACTGTGACCGTGTCTTGAATTCCACAGGAGAGAAAGTTGGCTGCGGCTTCATGTGTCTGTGGTGTAACGAGCGCGGGCGGAGTTTCTTCTCATTGGACGCTGTCCAGAGACACATGAGGGATAAGGGGCACTGTAAGCTGCAGTACGAGGGCGACATCATCTACGAATACGCCGAGTATTACGACTTCAGGTTAGTACTGTGCTAGGCTACAATTTTGTGGAGCTGCTAAGCAAAGTGGCTAAGCATTGAAAATATTTGCTAATCAAAGGCAATTTATCAGTCAAAAAATTCAGGGGATGTTTATTTCTTGTAAATGATTCGCTCACGGTTTTGCCTAGCACATACATTTTTTCTGAGTGATATTTTCTGCTAAGCTACTATTAACAGAAAAATGAAGTTAAAAACTTTTTGTCCTGGGTTGAATACCTTCACAGGTATATTTTGGCTGATATTCTTGTTTTGTTTTCTTGTGTAAAGTTTTGTGAAGTTGCAGCCGAGTAACTCATTCTATTTTCTCTCTCCGTCTGTTGCAGACAAAGTTACCCTGACCACACAGACCCTGCCAGACAGGGTGAGACACAGGGCGATAGTGACGATGAGGAAGTTGACGACAGCGCCTTACAGGTCCACCAGGAGGGTTACGAGCTCATGTTGCCTTCAGGTGAGCAATTCAGTCAAAATTATTCGCAGAGTGCCCCGGCCTTGCAGTCTGGTGTCCAGCCTGTGGGATAGAAGTGGGTGTGTCCCTGGGCAAGACACTTTACCCGAGTTAGATTGCTTCCACGCATTCAGGAGTAAATGGGTGAAAGTGTGCTTGAGGAGTTACTGTGTGTGATTTAGGCATTTGCACCAAAATGACAGCATTGAGTTGTATACTCCTCAGGAAGCTGATGAGATCCGAGAAAAATTTACTCCAAGTTTTTTTTATCAATAGGAGCTCGTGTCGGTCACAGAGACCTGCAGCGTTACTTCCGTCAGAACGTCCCTCCGACTCGACAGATCGTCAAGAAGAACAGCGCTGTGATTGGCCGGATAATGACGCAGTACAAAGCCCTTGGCTGGAGCGGGGATAAAGGCGAGTCCAGATAATTTGAAAAATTTAGGCAAATTATAGACTCGGCAAAATTTAACCCAAAACCTGCCAAATTGTAAATGTATATTTGTTCATATTTTGTCTGGTAATTGGCCATTTTACATAGACGTGCGTATTGCCGCAGCTTTACCTATGCCGAACACATTACTGGTAGTCTGATTCTTCTTACTCAACCTGTTCACTCACGGTATTTCTATGCACAGGTGAGGCATCCGAGAAGCGGGTCCGAGACTTGCGCTACGTTCAGAAGTTCCGCTCCAGGAAGGACCTGCACCTGAGAGTGAAGGCTAACAAGTTTCAGCCGCACTTCCGTCCTCAGGTCATCTTCTGAGGAGGCGATTGTTGCTGCTTCACACGCAGGTTCAGTGGTTGCATCAGCCACAGGATCAGGGATCTGTTGTCCATCAGCAAGCTGCTTCACCAACATATTTTTTTTTGGTCATATACTCAAGTAATTTACCTGAACACTGATGAGTGGCCCGCACTCGATTTTAAGGAAACTTTACGCAATGAAAGTCCACTTGTGCCCAATTTATTGCACAAGTTAAGCAAAATTTCACGCGGGTAACATTTCACTTGGGACAATGTCACGAAAGTGTCGTAGTACGCAAGTCAGCGAATTGTGCAACAAATAATGGCGTAACTTGGGCAACCATTTTAGGTGGCGTAAGTTGTGGCATAGCAACTGAACACGACCTTATTTTACCAGCAAATCTTTATCGTCGTTGAGCCTGTTACTGCACAATTTATCAAGGTTGATACTAGACACTCACAACTTTGTGTTTGAAGTAGAAGATTAGTTATTTTACTTGTGACAGAGTTTTTGAGTTGCCACTCGATTCCAAAGAAAGTAGGACAAAAATATTTTCAAAATGACGGGCGGAGGCGACTCAACGACTGTTTCGAGACTAAAAATAATAATCATACACAAACAGCCATTACGCAAGTTACGCACTGTTCCGTGAAATCAACTGCAGTTGCAGTAACACTGCAGAAATATACATGTATCATTTTAGAAGATGCCACACTACTGTTAAATCATACATCTTTATTTTTCTCCAATGTGCATGAATAAGCTCATTATACAGATAAATTGAATTTGCGTAAGAAACCCAAATATTATGAATGAAGACTTATAAATGTATTGTACATGTATTTTTTATTAAGATATCTGCCATTGTATTAAAGTTATGTTTGATTTTTGGTTCGCCAACAAAAAATCACGTAAGTGATTTGTGGATGCTGTACTGATTCAACTCTTTCAGTTTAGCCAGATGAGATCTGCTCACCATTTTCAGAAGTTTAATACAATTGATAACTCTAATATTGTTGAACATCATTAAGAAATCTTTATGCTGTATTCAATAAATATAAAAATTTGATTATCTGTCTTAGAATTATTTTGTTGGAAGCAGAAGGCAAAATGTACACAATGCTTGTCCACAGACACTTGTCAACAAACAGTATTGTTATTTTTAACCCAGTTGTTGGGTCCGGTACGAGTTGGCCGAGATGTGGAGCACACAGTTAGCCAAGACGTGGAGTGTTGTGGCCTTGTGGTCTGGAGCATTGAACTCGTAGTCTGCAGGTAATTCTGCAGGTTGTGGGTTCGAGTCCAGCCTGGGGCTGTGGTGTGTGTGCCCTTGGGCAAGGCACTTTGTCACTCATTGCTTCTGTCCACCCAGGAGTAGATGGGTACCTGTGAGGGCAGAGATGGTTATTGTGGTTGATTTTAGCTGCTTTGCGCCGAAATGGCAGCATCGAGCTGTATACTCCCTAGGAAGCTGAGATTGTCTTTAGAATGTTTCATCGGCCCAATGAGCAGGGTTAGATTGATGTAGCGCCTTGAACACCAATAATTTATAAATACACATTATTGTTGTTATTATAAAAAAAATCCCGAGTCTTCTTGCTACAAAGTCCGTGCACGGCCAGCACATACTGTCTCTTCAACTGTTGGCATTTCTCTGTCGTTTACAAGGCGGTCCGTCCCCACAATCCTCCAAATCACCACCATTACTCTCACCGAGCGGTTTCTTGACGGCCCAAGGGGTGCTAAACGGGGTCTTTGCCTTCTTCATGGGCATCACAGATGCCCCTTCGGTATTTCGAGTACCCTCCAAGCCATCTTGATGACTGGTCTTAGATTTCACAGACGGAACGGTCTTCTCTTGGGGATAGCTTGTTTTACTGTTGTTTTTAAGGACGCCGTCTTTTGTAATGACCAATGGCATTTGATCATTGCTGTAGCTCGATCTGGCATCATCATCTGCCTTCCCAGGGTTCATTGCTGCAGTGTCGTCACTCTCGGACTCCTGCGACTCCAAGGCAACGAGGCAAGCCAGTTCCTCCTGTTCCAACTCGTAATCATCCTCCAGGAAGGACTTCTCAAAGAAAGAGAGGATGCTTTTCTGTCTCGGATCCTAATCAGGAAATGATGGGAGGACAATTTTTAAATGAAAGCAGCTTGTGATAACATGACACGAAAACAGCTTGTCAAATTTTATTATACAGACCAATATGGGCACGCTGGGACTTCTATTATGAAGGCCCCTTCAATGGCTAGTTGCCTTGTACAATGGTTTCTCCATTGAAGAAGGCCCTGTAAATTTATGGTAATCACATGCCCCAGATTGTCTATAGACTAATTCAGGGACAGCCATTTTCTGCCGTGGCACTAGGCTCACGCGAGTAACGCTTGGGTAATACGCATGCACTCCGGTTAAGAACGCGTGCGGCATGCGCACGAGCAAGGCACCACCTCAAAAACGGCTTCTAAGTTTGTTCGGCGAATTACACTGTGGGCAATACTTTTGCCCTGATCTGCCTGCTGTGAGTCTCTAGTACTCGAGCGACGCTGTCATGATCATACCTTAAATGCAGTTGTGTCAGCCTCGGAAAAGTCGTCCTTTGACAAGCCTGCTTTCCCCAACACCGACAACTTCTTTTGCACCAGTGGCCTGAAAAACAACACCAAACAAAGCAATTTTGTTTTAGTCCAAACAAAGCATTCCAAACACTGATTTATTCACGTAGGTGTATTGTGAAATATCTTCACAGATTTATTTTGGATTTTCTGACCATATGTAGTCATCAGCCGTGCCTTTAGCTATCAGGTATCGTATGTTGGTAGCGTCCTGCTGTCCAATGCGGTGAACTCTATCCTCTGCTTGAACCAGTATCTATCAAATCAAAAACCAAAAATGTATAGAGGCTCTTAGTTTTCATCAAGGTACACTTGAAGTTTTTAACTTAATGGCAGTGTTGTCAATAGCCCTAACAGTCCCGAATCCTCCAATTTCAATATGATTTTGCACACCCCCTAGGGAGTTTTAAGGAACTTGAGAAGGGTCAGAATCATCACAAGTCCATCACAAGTCGTCACAAGTCATCACAAGTTCATTATAAGTCTTCACAAGGCCATCACAAGTCATCACAAGGTCATTATAAGTCATTATAAGTCATCACAAGTCATTCACAGGTCATTCACAAGGTAATCACAAGTCATCACAAATTCATCACAAGTCCATCACAAGTCATCACAAGTCCATCACAAGTCATCACAAGTCAATCAATCACAAGGTCATCACAAGGTCATCACAAGTCATCACAAGTCCATTACAAGTCATCACAAGTCAATCACAAGTCATCGCAAGTCATCACAAATACATCGCAAGTCATCACAATTCTACCACAGGTCAATCACGTCCCAGGTCAAGGCACAAAGTATTCAAACAAATTTTGACAAAGGCATTTACTGTTCATCCACTGTTGCTATTGTGAGAGGACTTGACATCTGACTTGTGACCAGGGCCCAATTTCATAGCGCTGCTTAACAGCCGACTTTGTGCTTACCAAGCGTCCATCTATTTCATAGGGACCGTTAAGCAGTAAGCACAGCAAAAGCACGCTTAACCCCAGAAGAAAACTTTGCTTAAATCAGTGACGTAACAATAGAAATCTCCATGCGCGCGCAACGTTAGCATGAAATAGTGCTTAAGCAGCAGCATGATTTTCTGCTATAGTAAGCACAACTTTTCTGCTTACTGTTAAGCAGTGCTATGAAATTGGGCCCTGAATTGTGATGGACTTGATACAACTCTTTAAGTCATGCTGAGACTCTTGTAATCAGAGTATAAAACAAACATTAAGACAAGATGACTTACCCCAGGATTCCAGAACAGTTCAGCAAAGACCACCATGCTGGCTGCGGTGAGCGTCAAACCGGCATTGGCTGCAGTGATGGACAGGACGGCAACGCGACACGTCTTCTCCTCTTGAAATCTGTCACAGTGGGCCTTGCGGTGTGCTGCCGAGGTACTGCCGTCAATACGGATGTAGTCATACTTCTGCGTAAAGGAGGAAAGTTTGTGTTTAACAGACCACGCCAGAGCATTTTGGTGAGAGGATTACAGCCAAACTTTGGTGCCACTGCAGGAGAGATGTCTTATGGAAGCAATGATCTGGATGCCGAGTAGACCCGTAAACGTGGCTATATAGGTACATAGTCACGCTCCGTTCATAATCTCTGGACTTTTGACGTGTTCAAAATCCTGGTTTTGTCCCGATTACAGTCCCGAAATGTAACGAGCATAACATGTTCAGTGCTTACATAAGAATTTATCCAAGAACTTCCAGTGGCATAGGATCTGTCATTCCAAAGACAAAGAAATTTGAGGGAAAATGAAGCCCATACGAACGTGTGCTGTACACATTTTTCAGAAGTCCAGAGATACGAATGGAGCGTGGCTATGTACATAGCCACATGTACGGGTCTAGATGCTAAGTTACCTTTTGACTGATAGCTATGCACAGAGCATCCAAGACCGACTGGTGATGAGCGAAGATGAGGAATTTGTGATCAGCTTCCAGCAGATCCAGCACGTAATCCCTAAATATACATAGAAGGGAGAAAGTTGTGGTTAAGGCAAATTTTATGGAGCTGTTTAAACAAATTTTGCCGAGTACAAAAAATGTCGGTCGCTTTTCCAATTTTATCTCAAATTTAGGCACACTTGGAAATTTTAGCGGAACTAAAACAACAATGAAAAAAACAAATGTGATGCAATCAAGCTAAATGAGTTGTTTGTCGGGAATTTTTAATTGGAGATACAGGCCAAAAGAGGGCCACTTCATCACATCACTTCATCACATCTCTTGGTGTTTCCAACTCCCATAATTTTTGAACTAAAGATGGCATCAGCATGCAGTTTTCACAGCAGTAATGCTGAGATTGTGCTCTTTTGAAATCTGTAGTAAAAAAAAAATTGACCAGGGTCGACAAACGACTCATGTAGCTTGATCGCATCACAAATATATTTTTTACAAAAAAGAAGAAGCTTGTTACAGTTCCACGGGTGCACTTACCTAATTGCTGGCACCTTGACAAGTCCAGTCTCAGCAAAGTACTTCAACAAGACGCCCCTCTCTTCCGATTTCTGAGCAAATTCCAAAGAGACAAACAAGATTTCTGATCATTTCTTTCACACAATGAGAATTCACAAGCGTTGGCTCTTCCACATAAGTTGTGTTCTCTATGCATTCCTATGAGGAGCAAAGATAACGATACACAACAAAAATAGCTGATCTTAAAACAAAAAGTCAATGGGACTACTCACAGGTTTCTTTCTTCCCATCTGGTCCGCTGCGACTTTGAGTGCCTTGCTGTTAGTTTTGACGATAGAAGGATCCATTATGACCTATCATCAATAAAGGAAATAGAAAGGGGAGTCAGGTTGGGAAGGTTTTGGGAAGTCAGGTTGGCGTAGCGGTACTTTCCTCGCCTTCCACCGCTGTGACCCAGGTTCGAATCCCGCCCGGGCCAACATGTGGATTGGGTTTTAGTACCTGGGCCCAATTTCACGGTGCTGCTTAACAGTTAGCAGAAAAGTTGTGTTTAGCATAGCAGAAACATTTGCTAACCTTAAGCGCTATTTCACGGCGTGTGTGTGCTAACGGTCGCGCGTGCATGGAGATTTCTATAGTTACGTCACTAAGCTAAGCAAATTTTTCCTTTGTAGTAAGCGTGCCTTTTGCTGTGCTTATGCTTACGGTCTCCATGAAATAGACGGAGGCTCTGTTAGCAGAAAATCGTGTGCTTACCAGCGCCGTGAAATTGGGCCCTGATTCCGTGGGTTCCCCCCAGAATATTCGTCTGGGGTTTTCCTCCCACCTATAAAAACTGTCATTTATTCTCATTGTCTTCTCTCTACAGGTTTCTTCAGGTTTGCGAGCTACAGTGCCTAGGGCGCTTTTGAGGAATCCTTGGTTTCATTATACCAGAAACAAATAATAATAATAATGATGAAAAAGGCTGATATCGGTTACAAATTGTAAAAATTACCATCTACCATATAGAAATCAGACAGTATACCTGTGCATTTGACTGATTGTGGAACGTTCCAAATTTGACAATGAGCACTGCCAACTTTGGTTTGTGTACATTTCTCTCTTTTCCATTGTCTTTGGGCTGGTTTTAATCTCCTACTCTGTCAAATTCATAACTCACCATTTGTCTGGTCTTGGAGGGCAGTTCCTTCAAGACGTCTTGCTTGAGCCTTCGGATCATGATGCACTCTTCCAGCAGGAGTTGCAGCTCCGTCATGTTGGAAGAGCCAGAGTAGTCCCATCCCCATGGATTCTGAATAGCCAATTACAAATAAATATTGTATTAAAGTCAAGTTGGAAGAGCTGGGTTAGTCCTGCCCCCATGGATTCTAAACAGCAACTACAAATAAATATTGTAAGTCATGTTTGAAGAGCCGGAGTAGTCCCATCCCGTGGATTCTGAACAGCCAGATACCAAAGATGAAAAGTTTTCTGAAATTCTAAACCCTTAATTAATTCACACTTAACATAAATATTTCAGCCATAACTCCCTAGTGTCTTTAAATAAGAACTGGCCCAAGTCCATCAAAATCCATCAATCACTGTGCTTCCAATACAAAAATGTACATGACATAATGGAATCCACCACTGACGCACTGGTTGACATCGATGGACTGAGTACACATGGCTTATATGACAATAGCAGTACAGGAAGCTAGGCAAAATCAATCAGATAACCCCTAGCACTGCTTCATGCTTTCAGGCTCAAGTCCATCATACTCCATCAATATTTAATCAAACCAGGCCTACTGGGCCAAGTCCCCCAAAATCCACCAAAATGGGGGGATGGGTTTTGATGGAGTTTGGGTGTAGTGTGATAATCCTCTGGAGATGAAATGCAAATTAAAGCGCAGTAGTATGAACATTTTTAGAAAAAAAATTCAATTATTTACCTGGGTTGCGTTGCAGTACCTCAACCCAAACTCATGGAATGATGGAAAAAGTCTAGGAGCCACACCCAGGATTTGGGTGTAGAGTTCTGAAGGTCTGGATAGAGCTGGGGTACCAGACAGGAGAATCACGCGTGGTGCTGCCTGAAATGAAACAGAAGTATACTAACTATTTTGAGGAATTTAAGTGAGGGTTCCAAAATTAGAAGACTGGGTAATTTTGAGGTTAGTGACAATTTGTATAAAACGTAATTATTATTTATGACTTTCTGATTTTTAAAAAAAATAAATGATTATTGTTTTACCTTGAGAAGTGGAAGAGCGGCTTTCGTTCTTGCTGTTTTGACATTCTTCAGAAAATGACATTCATCCTGTTTTGATCCCCCAAAAATGGAAGAAAAGCTATAAATGCATGCATTTGATTTTTGAACTCAAACAAACCGAACTAGTGTCTGTAGTCAAAAATTGTCTAGTAAATTTTATGCAGTTTCTACGTTATTTTCTTTGTCCAAATTACTTCTGTCAAAACCTGATTATCTCTGTGTTTATAATCTTTCGCTTTTGATACTTTTAGTTCTCAAGTTCATTTTTGTAATATCTCACTACATAATTGTACTTTAAGCAATCAATGTCATAGCTCCCTAATGAATACAACGTTCAGTGGTTTTTATTATGAGCAGGGCAAAATGAAAACTGATGAGGAAATATGAGGAATGTTTCGTTACCATGATGATGATCTGGAAGCGAAACTGCTTGAGCTCTGCTGCCTTCCTGTGCATCAAGTCATAGCTCAGGATGTTAACTTGACCTGACGTACCAGAGCTTTTACTGTTCAGTACGACGTTGATGTCCTGTGGATCCAGAGAGGGTATCCACTTCTCAAACGCCTACACCAGAAAAAAATGATGAAAAAAATAAAGTTTCAATTCAATTTATTTAAATGAAACATTCATATAAGCAGAAGGTTCTCAGTAAATGTCTGGTTCCACAAGATTCCTTGGAATTTTTGCTTGGGTTTTCTTCAAACCTCTAAAACATTTCTTCATCATCTGCTTTCTTATATTTGTTCAAGCTTCTAAACTCCACAGCAAAATTATAAACTAAACCCTTCTATAATTTTTTTTAAATAGACTAGGATTAAGAGGATTTTGTAGGATTGAGGAAGGTAGAGCCCAGCCAACTTTTAATTTACATGGGGCTTGATGGCCCTTGAAACTTGGTAGATACAAAGAGTGTGCCATTGGGTTCCTGCAAAGAGGAGGATTTTGTAGGATTGAGGAAGGTAGAGCCCAGCCACTATTACTTTACATGGGGCTTGATGGCCCTTGAAACTTGGCAGATACAAATAGTGTGCCATTGGGTTCCTGCACAGTGGAGGATTTTGTAGGATTGAGGAAGGTAGAGCCCAGCCACTATTACTTTACATTGGGCTTGATACCGCTTGAAAGTAGAAAGAATGTGGCACTGGTGTCATGCACAGTGAATAATTTTAGAGGATTCTGGAAACTTTCTATCAAAAATGTCCCAGGACTTTTTTAGGCAATTGCATGATTTTTTTTTGAAACTCTTAATTCATGACAAGGAATTAACAGAAATCCTATCTGGCTCCCAAGGGCTCTACCTTTCTCAATCCTCTACAAAATCCTCGAAAGCGTCCTGGTAGATTTTGAAAAGATTGGGGAGGGTTAGGGTTAAAGTTTTTGCATCCTCGTGCCTCACCTCGGCCCAGGAGTACCTCACAGAGGACGGTGAGACGACCAGAACTGGCCACTCCGCTCGGTAGAAGCAGGCTATGCAGATGGCTTGCAGTGTCTTCCCGAGACCCATGTCGTCCGCTATCAAGACTCGGCCTTCTCTGCTGATGGCAAAACTGTTGAAAAAAAATGACAGTTTACATTTGAAGACTTGAGTTCCAAAATGGGAAACACTATCCTCTTTTTTAAGTGAAAAACTCTCACATTTATGAAAACTTAATAAAACTTATAGAACATACACAGTATAAAAGCTGTTTTAACACTACATTTTTTCGCTGTATTGTATTCTTAAAATGTATTTAACTATTTAACGACGCCAAAACTTGCTTTGGGCAACCGGAAGAGGGCGGGATTCTTAAAGCTAACAAAATGGCGTTTATTGCAATTTGAAACAAACTCTTCGTAGTGTGCAGTTTGTAAAAGCTTGATAACATGGAAATAACATGTTCTGTCACACACGTCATGTTACAGTGATAATGACAGCGTTTCATACAATGCAGGAAAATACAGGGCGAGTAAAATAAAAGTTTTGTCTGTAGCACTTTCAAAATCTAGGATATGAAAGCCCAATCAATGAGATTTCTCTTAGTATAAGAATCATTCAAATCACTCATGTACTTTCCAAGTTACAGAGTTTTGAACACCATTTTAATGTTCTGTCCACGGATCACAACAAAGGTTAGTGTTCTTTCAGCAAAATGAAAACGATTCACCGGTTTCGAGCTTCACCATTTTGCATCCTTCTCACGCCTCACCGCACCCATCCTTATAACATCGCATCATCGTTGGAATCCCTCATTCTCCTGAAGACGGGCAGAGCATACTGTATGAAACGTTGAGTCCCTTCGGTTCTTTTCAGAACCACACATACTCACAAATGAGATTTATTCACATGGTGCTACCGCAAACTTATCTTGTCTTAGAAAACGATTCACATGCATCCCTATGAAAATTGTTTTCCTTTTGCTGAAAGAACACTTCTTTTTTTGTGTGATACGTGGACAGAACTTTACAACGGTGTTTGAGTTCAAAATTCCGTAACTTGAAAAGTACACGAGTGATTTGAATGATTCTTGTACTAAAAGAAAGCTTAATGACTGGGCTTTCATATCCTGGATTTTGAAAGTGCTACAGGCAAAACTTCATTCAAAATTGGTCCTGCCATTTGGGTTTCGTTTTTTTTTTAACTGTATGCCTACTACAAACACCAGTGAGAACAAAACCAGAGGGTGTAATAATAGAAACAGAACGGCTCAGCACTTACTTGACTCCTTCCCGCTGGAAATTCATCAGCGTGTTCACCAGTTTTTGGTCCACGGAGTTGAGGTTGGCGTCCGGGATGACCCGGTTCCCCTCCTGGCCGTGGCGCTGCCTGCGGAAGGCTGCGCACACCGGCTTGGGTAAGGGTTCGATCTCAACTGTGGGCCTCAGCGGTTTGACTGCTTCCACTGTCAAAATTTAAAAAATGAAATAATGTTTGGAAAGTTTTTTGAAAAGGTAGCGATAACTATTGTTTAATATTAATCAACACCAGATAATGGCAAAACAATAATCGATACTTACTGAGCGTGTCGTAATCTGACAAAGCGAATGACCATTTCTTCTCTGCAACATCTAAAAAATGTTAAAAGCATAGAAAAATATTTATAAAAGTAAAACACTTCAACTGAAAACTTACTAGTGCTGCAACAGTTAACAATATATCGGTTTGATTTTTTGTTTTAAGTCCCTGGAGAAAAAGGGTTTTAACTGACCGTAACTTTTGCTTGGGATTTCCTTGAAGATTTCAATGAGCTTCGCATTGTATCCGACATTCACCACAAATCTCGTCCTCGACACCAGCACACAAGCTCCTTGTGAGTTACTCCCCAGCCCGCCCCCAAAGCTGGACTTAGTTCCTCCCCCTTTCTGGGAGAAATCCGGACGTTTCACGCTGGGACCCTGGATTTCATTGCGAGTCTGGAATCCAGACCCCGGTTTCTGTGGATTCGAATGTGGATTCGGCACCAGACTCTGACCAGCAGTACTTGAACGCCCCGAAGAACTAGTCTGGTCTCCAGTGGCTGTTGGTCGTGGTTTCGACGTGTAGAAACTCGTAATTGTCTTTGGCTTGCCAACACCAGAGGTTGAATTGTGTCCTCCTTGCAGACCGCCCTCTGTTGGTGGATTTGTGCAAACCTTGCTAGGCATTACTGCAGTTGGCAAATTCACTTGGGCTGTAGGTGCACTGTTGAAAATACTCGTACTTGTTACTGATGTTTGTTGTATGTTACTGCTTGTATTTGACAACTCAACTGATTTTGAAGATGCTTCACTTTGGAAATTGCTTCTTGAAGCAGTAATTTGATTGCCGCTGTCATTTCCATGAAATCCACTTGGTTTTGTGACGACAGATCCTTGGGATTTCTTGGACCAGCCATTTGCTGACGATGAAATTGTGCTGGAGCGGCTATTCGTGCTTTCCTTAGGTCCTTGGTTGTGTGGAAAATGGGATGAACCCTGATTGCCGCTCCTAGCAACAACTTGAGTGAAATTTGTGGCTTTGGTCTGTCCTGATGATGTGCTTTGGGTCGGCTTGGCAACCTGGCTGTTGCCTTGGTTACGCTTGGCTCTCAGAAGAAGCGCCTTCTTCCTGTTTTCCTCCATGCGTCTCTTTTGCTCAGCAGTCAGACCTCCAGTTGTTGCCATGGTGACGGAACTTCTAACTTACACAAAGCTGAGAAAAAGAAACACAGAGATCTCAAGTCATCTTGCAAAACTCAATTAATTATATATTTCATGACCAAGTTCTAACTTATGTTTAAATAAAGACCCACTAACTGGGGCGCTAGAACTCCTTTTTTTAAATTCTGGATTTGGTCTGTTGCTAGTACGATCGACTGACCAAATCCAAAATTTAAAAAAGGGAGATCTAGCGCCATACATGTACCACGTGCTATTTCTCTGAAAGAGAAAAACTGGTGAATGATTAGAACTTATTCAGACACCATTATTTAATGTTGACTGTGTACAAAATCTGTAGAGAATTATGAAAATGATATGCCATTTTTTTTTATTAAAGGCGAAAAATGATATGCCATTTTTTTTTCCTAGGCCTAACCCCCCCCCCCCCCCCCCCCCCCCCAAAAATACCATTTTTTTATCCACAATTAAACATTAGAACTCGGTCCCAAATTACTTTCTTTATCAAAATATTTGCAATTATTTAGATTCACTGATCAGACATCATGATTACATGTGCTAACAAATGGCGTCAAGATGCTGCATTCTTTCCCTGTTATTTTACTTTGTCATCACGTTAGTAATACCTGCAATAAAACACCCCTTCCGGTCCAATATGTCCAATCATCATTGCCGTGACGAGTGTCGGAAATACGGACTTTAAACATACGATGACAAGGATGTTATGAGAACAACCAACTGGCTGATTACACGTGTTGATAACGATACAAATGTTTAGTTTTTATAAAATTTGATAGCACTCTTTTTCTTTTATTGATGACCACTTACCAAAGAATGTATCGATGGCGATGAAACAGAAATTTTACAAACTTGTTGCACTGCAGTTTTCGATATCACTGTTGATCGTTTGAGTGCGCCGCCATTTTTATTTTTCTGGAACTCTGGGAAATCTTTACCTGGATTTGACCAATCATATGAAGTGTTCTAGCTACACCCAACTTCTAGCCAATGATAGATACTGTAACAAGTGGTTTAGGAACAGTAAAGTGCGCGCTATTGACGAGCAGACGACAACATGACGTGCACTGACGTGACGTGACCAGCTGACAGTGGCCTGCCGAAGTTTTGCTATTTTTCTCAGCTTTTCCAGTCGATTTCAAGAAGCAGTTGCACCAACAGAATTGACTTATAAGTTGAGAAAGAAGTAGAAAACACGTGCAGTATAAAATAATGAGTAAATCTAAGGATTCAGATGGTAATTTTTCATGTTAATTCATTCAGTTTTGCAAATCAAATTTAGTAAGCGAAGCGCAACCGCAAGCATTGGCAAGCGGCAGGGGGGGGGGGGGGGGGGGGGTCGGGGTGATCAAATGAGGGGGGCAACAATTTTTTGGTGGGGGGTGCGCCCCCCCCCCTCCCAATTCTCGTATCTGGTTCGTTAGTAAATTAAAAACGTCATACATGCGCGGGCACCACTGATTATTTACTAGCGCTAATTGGAAAAACACTCAAGTTGCGTTAGCTTCCGGTTCCAGTCATGCCAGTGGTTCCAAATGAATTGATGTCACACCAACGAACCGGATTATGTTGAAACAAAAACACAACTTTATTTGTTTCATTAGGCCTATTGTTTTGCAATTTTTTTCAGCCGTGACTGCCATTTTAGACTATCTGAACCGACAGAACAGACCCTACAGTGCAATCGATGTCTTCAATAACCTACATAAGGAGTTTGGAAAAACAGTGAGTGAACGTTTTTCATTGAATAGGCCTAGACTGTGGCTGTGCATACATGTACTTTCAGACATTGGGCTACTTCTAGAACTAAGACTAAGAGTAAGAGGCACCCGTGTGCCTTCTACTAACGTTAGAAGTAACATTGGGCGACCAATGTCCGAGTCCATTTATGTGCCCTATTTAAACTGGTTCATATTTAAGCGAATTTACGTGCAAGGGAATTTTGCTATGTTATTGGCAAACATCGTAGTAAAAAATGTTCAATTGTTGATGTAAAATTTGCTTTGCTTTCGCTTCAACGTTAAGTATGAACCAACGTATTTTAAGTAGGTCATTCCAATCTTTTCAAACGTGTCCTTTCAGCGTGTATGTGTATTTAAGTCAGCTTATTACTCATACTAAATTAAAGTACAGGATAAAAGATAAAAAAAAGGTGCTTAAATTTGAACTGTTGACTTTGGCATGTCGTCACGTACCAGTCTCATCACACAGGTGGCGTAGGCCAGGCAGTTCCGCCAACAGTTGTTGCACAGACCCCAATTTTTATTTTTAAATATAAGAAGTAATTAAGGTATAACAAGGCCTTTGGCAGTGTCTCGGACCTTTAAAGGAAGTGGACAACCGCAGTTCTGCAGATATAGATCAACAGTCAATTAACCAGACATTATGGAGTGCTGTGGCCTCGTTAATTTTGAAAAATGTATGCAACGCGCAAGTACAACACACACGTTTGTGTTGTTTGTCCAGAGCGAGATGAAACGCTCATTTACTGATTGTGTGTTTCAGTTTCAGGCGCATCGCCTTCGATAACACACCTGTAATGAATACAAACGAAGTTATGCAAATAGCCGTACTAAATCCCTACTATTAGTTTGTGCACAAACATGGATGCGCCCAACAAGCTTCACTTTGTACATCAAGTTAGCGCTCTATAGTAATTTAAGATGCCTATAGCTCTATTGAAAAACATCTGATTCACGGTGGACTGATTTTCAGCATTTGAAACAGTTGAAAGTTGCAGCCTGTCTCTTCCTCCCTCCCTCCCTAGACAGGGTTGAGGCTCTCCGGTTGACTCAGTGTTTTGGCACCTGTACGTCCACACAGTCATGTTCACATAAGTGTGAAAAGATAGACCTAAGTCCACCCAAGATTTTGGGATTCTACAATGACATGAATCACCCTTGTACTGGATGCCGCTCATCTTACAGATGTGGCACACAAGGATGGGTAGACCTTTGCACTTTGTGGGCAAACCCGTTTTAATACTGCGGCTTAAAAGTTCGGCGGCTTAGTTCCCAGGTGTGGTCTAACGGGTCAAGCAAATCTGTCTTCGAGTTCTACGGTATAAACTGCAATTTTGTGATTCATTCATTAACTGGCTACTTCCAGTAAGCAAGTCTCATCTTTTAAACCAGCTACAGGGAGGAGGACATACATGTACATGTGTACGTGAATCTCAAGTACTCCGCCCGAGAATTCCATCAATCCCCTACACAGCATCCCCCTCCCCACTCGTTCCCTCCCAACCAGCCCCCCCCCCCCACCCCACCAAAAGCAATAATTTGCTTTCAACATTATTAATGCAATAATTTCTAAAGTAAGGGGTACAAATTTGGAAGAAGTTCTGTAACAGATTTTTTCTAAATCGGTTCCTTAAAAATTATTTATCTGCCGAAAGAAATTTGAGTCCCTGTCCAAAATTTCGATGTTAGGCTACAGTCACGTATGTACAGTACATGTATACACTGTGCATAGTTCTGTGAGCTGTCATCAAGATTTTAATTCCTTGGGCTATATAGTTGAACCTTCCTCTTTACTGTGTCTCACCTTTGGACTCTATATGATCTTAAAAGGGTTTCAGACAGTTATTATCTTTGATACGCCTCTAGGTGCCTAGTGAATATGTTTTTAATTGAACAGTCATACTTTGAAAATTTGGTTCTCAGTCCACACCAAACGTGTACTGTGGAACGCCGCTATACCGAACATTCGGTTATACCGAACATCATCCTTGGCTCTTGGTTTTAATGTACAAAACGTACCAAACATCGTTGTTCAAAAAACCTACCGGTTGTACATGTATTAAACACTGTTTGGGCCACTTTTAATTCCCGAACATCAAACCACCCATGGTTACATCGTGTTTGAATGTTGAAGAGCGATAGATGGCTATTATTTCCCCAAGGAATAAAAGGGAAAACCACCCGTTGCTAAAGTTTTGTGACGACTCCTCGTGCGGCGGGATGTGAGAAATGCCAGTTCAGTGACTTCACTATTGGTCAAAAGAGGGTACCAGCGGTTCAAAATCACTATACCGAACGATCGTTATTACAAACACTTTCTGTGGATCCCACGATGTTCGTTTATATAGCGGCGTTCCTCTGTATAGGTGTTTCCGTTGTTTTCTAAGTTTCAAGTTCTGTCATTGTGTAAGAGAGACGGATCAATGTCAGCATTTTCCAAGTTAAGGACAGTTCATGCTTTATGCAAATTTGATGTCACGAAGCATTCGCTCAAAATTCGCCGGATGTGTTCAACTTTTGCGAATTGGCAGTGCAAAAACTTGGACTGGTCACAAATTCGAGTTCGCGTTTGCTTTCGCGCCGAGTATGAACCTGCCTTTAGTTATTGTGTTTGTTCAAGGGGTGTTAACCTGTGTGCCATCTGGCACTGGTGCGATGTTCCAGAAATCTTACGTTCAAATTCCACTGGTTTGGCTCCTTTGGGTAATCATGATGTAGTCCCTTACAATGGAGTACCGAAGTGTGACGTCATTTAGAACCAGAAAGTGCAGTGCAAACCAGTGGAGTACGCGCGCGTGTTGGTTCACGGGCTGAATCACGCGCTAATGTCTTTCACACACATTTTGTGCGCGTGACGTATTCACTTCGGTACTCCATACATGTTGTTATAAATTAAATACATGAAGTTAACCTTTAAATTATCATTCCTGTTACTCGCTCGTCAAGTCTTTCACAGCTGTGGTAAAGCAAATGAACTTCAGTCTCAGTCACAGGAAGGACACAATCAATAACATTTGAGCTCGTATTAAGTGATTTCATTTGCCCAAATGTGACTTGCGGTCTCAAGTCAGGAAGACGCACTTTAGGAAGCCTTTTACTTGGAATGGTTTGGCAGTAGGGGTACATGACCGCCAGACAGTGCATTGGAGAAACATGCATTGGAAATCATCTCACTCGTGCATTTCTGAATAACTTTCATTTCTCAGCAAAGGCCAACATGAACATTTTATTTGTTACATGTTTACTGCAACTCTATTCAAACAAAATAAGAGGCCACACTCCTTTGATCCTTCCCCTGTTTAATCCCTCTTTTGTGTTTTGCCTTCCACCCTTACATGCTTGTGTAGCCCCTACTGTACCCTTGTATTTTTGACAACACCAAAATAGATGTTTCAGGTCAATCCAGTCAGTAAGCAGTTTGCAGCAGTTGTGTTCATGTACTGCAACTCTGTTATAAGTACAATCAAGAACTTCTTGCAGTGATGAAATTTGTGAAACAAATCGCATCAACTGTCCTCGTGATTTGCGTCTCAAGCTGGTCATAATAGGAAATGCGGTCATAACTATGAAGGACCTTAATAATATCCCCCTAGGATTCACCTTGTTATGCACCTTAATTACCTAATTGGTCAGGTAGATTGGTAACGGATAATGTCTGCAGGTGTACCTGTACCACCTGTTAACTTTTTAAGAGATTCTTAGCTAACCCTCTCGAGTGGCATTGAGCACAAATTTTCAAGCAGCTGCAAAGTGGACACTTGGTAAACAATTTTGGCCCCTCCCGAAAAATTCAAGGATTATCCAAATTTCTAAAGATGAGTTTTCCGTTATCTAATGGCGACCTTTCTGTGAGGTCATTCTATCCTCCTGGCACCTTACAAATTCCTTGCGGCTGCAAGAGTAACCATGAGACACCAAGCAAACTGCCTCTCCTTCAAGGACCACACGGGATCCCGTCTCGTTAAGGTGGCCCCAGAAGATCCTCCAAGACTCACCCAGGACTCCTTCAAGGTCCTCTCCGTCTGAGTGGCACCTCTGAGATCCAGCAGCCAGATCTTAAACAGCTGACAGTCACTTAATTTCTTCAAGACTCCTTCCCAGATTACTTTTGAAGATAATCCTTTCTCTTAGCTGGAAGTTATGATTCACTGGTCATTGAAGGTTGAAAGATGAGCTGCACTTTTTAATTTTTTTCTAGTTGAATGCGTTTGATTGAGTGGTTAACTTGTGGATTGAAAAGATGGACAAATGGCCAACTACAGGAGGCAGAACGCACACCCTTTTTGACTTGAAAAGTTACATGAATGTAATTCCTTAAATTAAACCACAATGTATTTGCGTACCGTATGTGCATAGCTAAATTATAGAAACCTTACCCTGTATTTCGGAGTTTAGAGGTTCAAATTGTCAAATTTTTCTCAAGACGGAATTCTCTCCAATTTTTCATCATGAATGCTGGGCTCAAACAAATTTGTCACAAGATCGTTCCCAAATGCCAGAAGAGGAAGTTTAGCCAAAATAGCACAGTTTTGTTAAGGCAAGTTATTAACACAGTCTAAATTAAGAATTAGGTATGTGGGTTTCATTGTCTAATACACGAATCACCAATCATCGATGATTACAGAGTTCTGTCATAATTATTATTAATAGACCGTTTCCAAAACAAACCCTTGAGTAATCTAATTTTATGGTGTCCCCCCCCCCCCCTCACAAATATCAAGTCAAAACCTATTTCCTGGGACTGCCAACGAGGGAAGCAATTCGTTGCTCGCCGGTGCCAGTGAGTTACCGTCACTTACTGAAAACGATTCATTCTAGGCGTGTTTCCTATTCTCGGCAAATTTAATTTCCAGTTTCCTCTGGTTGTATAACTGACGTGGTGTAGAGATGGGAGGGGGTAGACATTCACGCTAATAATCCCACCACTCCCTAGAAAGTATGCGTGTCCCTTGCTAATTTCTGGTATTACATGTAAGTCATCGTGTTGGGACATACGTATAATGTAGAACTAGGCTGCTTACATGCATTCTGTAACCCATTGGGGTTTATCCTACATGTATACGTGCATGTGGAACACTCGTGTTTAATCAAGTGCATGCACTTGGAACAGTCCATTCTCCAACTACATCACTTGAGCTCATCAACTTGTCACTTAAAGTACATGCCTTTTGCAAAATACTGAGGCACTTCACTGTAACCATTGTGAACAACACGCCACTCCATTGACTCTTGAGTTGTACTTCTTCCTAAATTACTGAAATTGTTAAACACCTTGGAATTTTATAATGGCAGTGACTATTGTGATGGCAGTACAACTGATGGTTTTAGGGTATGTAGCTGTGGTTACATTTGCCCAGCCCATATGGAGAATGGAACCACCAGACGTTATTGCCCTAGAAGGAGATACTGTCATGTTAACCTGCATTGTGGGGAATCGAACCAGCATCACCCGGTCCGATCAGAAACTCTTCTGGTACCACTCGGAGCACAACCAGCGCATCAGTCGCAACATGAACATCCTGGTGGAAACGGAAGGCTCGCAGTATACCGTTCATTACGACCGCATACTTGGTATTTATACCCTGGTCATCGCAAACGTGGATCTGTTCCATGGGGGAACCTATCAGTGTATTTACCGGGATCCTAAGACCGGCGCTGAGCACCACTCTCCAAATTCCATGCTGACTGTGTTGGTGCCGCCGGACGGCGGTTACGAACTCTGCAGAGTCTATCCAAAGTCTAAGATCATTCTGTCTCCCACGGGGACACGAGTCTTATCCTGTACGTCCCCATTTCCGCTCGAGAGCAGCGATCAGGTTTTGCAGATTCAGCAAAACCAGGCTGTGTACCACAACTGGCAGGCTGAGAATGCCATGACCCTGCATGGGTTCTTCCTCCAGAACCGGACCACGTTGCTGTCAGAATCAGGACTCCTTAACGGGAATCCATTATCTGTCAAGTATTGTGCAGTCAACAGCCTCGTTGTGAGCTTGTTCCCAGAGTCCTGCCATCTTGTGCCCATCAAGGAGAAAATGTCCGCTGTCATCGACCCACCAAGATTAGTCGCAAAGGCCGGAGATGACATATCTTTGAGATGCTCCCACGACACCGAGGCAACTATCGTCGATTATTCCTGGGAGTTTAAAAGCAATTTCCCCTTCAGCGGATTCCATTTGCGAGACAAAGGACAAATCATCTCGATCAAGAACATCGGATACACTAACGGACCAGTCAAGATTTTGTGCCACATCACCACAGAGCTTGGCTTGCAAGCGACAGCAGCTGCCAACATCTCGGTCATTTTGGACGACCTCCCAACCACTCCAGGAGAACCCATGAACCACCTGATTGGAAACAACGAAGAAGACAAGCTGGTACAAACCGGTAACAAACCAGACGTCAAGGAAGCAGACCCAGACAGCAGCTTACTCAAGAACATCAGTCTCCTTGTGGGACCGAGCTTGGGCGTTATCTTTCTCTTCATCTTTGCCATATTTCTTGCCTACTGCCTTGTCAAGTGGAAGAAGAAGGAGAAGCCGGAATCAAAGCCAACTCATCTGTCCCAAGAAGCTCACGCCGCTCTCTCTTTGACCACTGTCAATCAGAACAATAGTAAAGCCTTCTCAAAGCGTCACTATTCCGACTCAGCTGCATGCAGAGTAAGTCATGTCGGCGAAGAGTATGAAAACATTGAAGCCTACGCCGATAAACTCGCTGAGTTCTCACGTGGAACCAGTTCCTTTCAATTGAACTCCGTCCGTCCGATGGAGGCCAATATCAAATTCAAGATCGAGCTGCCGCAGTCTTTAAGCACCAGCATGCCAGCACTCAACATGCATGGGATTTCCTCCATAAAAAATACAGACTGTTCTTTGGACAGAGAAATGACATCCGGGTTTTCCGCGCCGGCAAAGCACGGACGCACAAGCAGCACTGTAGAGAAGAAGAGCAAATCTTTCAACAGCAGAGATGCAAAGAAAGAGGATTGCTACATGCCACTGAGCAAAGTCATGATGGACATGAATAAAGCTGGGAAAGTTGGGACTTGCTACTGATAAAATACATTAATTGACAGATAAAGTACCAGTAACTTTCATGGTATGTACATGCACATGTATCTATGTTAGGGCCAATGTTTTGCCATTTCAGAAAAATGTAAATTCCATTTTCAAAAATCCTAAATTCCGTTTCAGGCTGAAAAATTCTGTTTCACATTTTTTTCAATACATATTATACTGTAGTGCATTTAAACAAACACCATGCACACTTTGACGATAATGAAATAGTCATTTGGTTGGAACAGGGAAAAATTGCCAAAAAAAGATTGCTATTTTATCAACGGTCGATCAATTTACAGACGTAGTATTTAACTTCACCACAGTCAAGTCATTAATACTGCACCGCCACCACCACACAAGTTAGAAACATGCGATAGCCGCATACACCATGACCAAACCATTGGCCCTACTATATATGTGCATGTAGATCTATATTCCTACATTTGTTCTACCAGTATACATATGTAGATCAATACGGATGTAATTATTTAAATGATGGAAAAAGTAGATTCTTTGTTGTGTAAACAGTCATGCAGTATGCATGAAATCAAAATCATCATCTGTATAGTGTAAACAATCAATTTGCTTGTCTAGATTTGCCATTTCCTTTTGATGTGAGTTAAGTGTAGAATTAGAGTTAGCAGGTATTAATAGTGAAAAAAAATTTAAGATAAGTATCCATTTACACGTACGATACCGGTACATGTACCGGGTACATCTGTGCAAGTGCCGGTACATTATGCCATTGCCTTTCACGTTATTAGTTACAATGAATGGTTGGTGTACATGTACATGTACTGTACATACCGGTACATTGACGATGTTGAGCGTGACGTGTTGGGTGTGGTGGATCAAAGTTAAGATCTCGTTAAGCTTTTGGGTACAGCTCAGAAGCCATGCCAACTGTCACCTGTCAATTGCTAAAACAGGCCAAACAGCCTGTCAGCCAGAATTTTTCTCGTATTGTTCAGTATTGTACAGTGGTGTGTCAATAATTTTCAATCCTTCCGATTTCAATTGATAGTAATGCTGCATTGAACTGAGTCTGACCAAGCATTGCCAGTATGCTAACAAATGTAACATGGTCTTTAAGGCCCAAAAAAAAATAGTTCTGCTTCCGGTTTCCCTACCTACCCTATTCTCAGAGCCCCTACCCTAATTTTTTTATGGGAAAAATGAGAGAAAAAAACACAGAAAACCATCAATTTCTACCTTTTACCCTTGACTACACGCATATGCCTCCATACGATCGTACACACACACAAAATGGCAAAAAAAAATTCCCTACCTACCGGGTACCTACCCTATTTTGGAATGCCATGTAATCGGAAGCAGATTTTTTTTTTTTTTTTGGCCTAAGTTGTTGTTTGAAGCCCAGCAAGTCATGTCTGAATAGGAAGAGTTTATTTCTGCTAGCAAAATGGTGAGTTGTAGTGTTAAAATAAAGGTCATTCTATAAATTTGGGGTCCACTTTTTTTTCCTGTCCCTGTTACATCTGACATCTATGATTTTGTAATTCAGGATGCACTCCTCAATGTATGCTTCCTCCAAGAGTGATTATGTGAAGCTAAAGTAAATGACCTACCCAACAAATCAAAATTAGTTTGAAGTCATTCTTAAGGACACTTGAACGGCAAATTACAAAGTTCAGAGGTTACAAGGACAAGAAGAATGCCACATTCTGGACCCTAAATTGTGATGTGATCAAGCTATATGAGTCCTTCGACCCTGGTCAAAAAAAATTTTATTACAGATTTGAAAAGAACACAATCTCAGCATTACCGATGTGCAAACCGCATGCTGATACCATCTTTGGTTAAAATATTTTGGAAGTCGGAACACCAAGAGATGTGGTGAAGTGATGTGATGAAGTGGCCCTATTTTGGCCTGTATCTCCAAATAAAACTTCCCGACAAACGACTCATTTAGCTTGATCGCATCACAATTGATAGATGGCCCATCCTTTGCACAAAGATGGCTACATGAAAGCTGTGTGTGTAAAGTCCCTAAGAGCCAAAGTTGGCCTCAAGAAAATTTATTGGCCCCATTTGCAGTGGTTAATCTTGATGTACATGTAGTCCCTTAAGATCAAGTTTTGTTGGCATCTGAACCTTAAACATACATGCAGATAGATGGAGTAGTGTTATTAAAAACCACTCAACATTTTTCATAACGTCATCAAAAATGTGAACATTAATGTACTTATGTAGAGTATGTATCTGTAGTACCATAGAGACCAAACCCATTAATCTTAGTCATCCAGAAGAAATGTTGTCACTTGTACCTTTTGACCTGCGACTATGCCAAGTCCAATGATTGACTGACTCAAGTGGAAGTATTCAATGTACACTTTCCACCTTTTTAGATTAATTGGGGAAATGCTCATTTCCGATAGCAAGCCATGAGTGTAATTCATCCGGTCCTACTTTTTTTTTTTACAAATGTGCAGAGAGGCTGTTCCTAGCTGGAGGAACAGAAGAACGTTAGGTGGTTTACTCCCAAAGAACTGTTTGTCATATACTCAAAGGACCAAATCAAATTTACTCAAAGGACCAAATTAAATTCAGCATAGCTTGTGTACTGAGAAGTATATAATAATATTGCAAGTAATATTTGTGAATTGTGATTTACATTTTTCTTTGCTAACTGCGAAGTAATCCGGTTTAATAAAAGTGCATACCTCAGATTTGAAACATGCCAAATGTTAAACATGTTCATTGGCAGTTTATCTTAATGATGTACAGGTGTCGTTCCCATTTATGTATCCATAAAGAATGCATTCCTGTGTTTTACATGTATACTGGCTCCCGTTGGTACAGTTTTTACAATTTAAAATGAAATTGGTCAAACCCGGTGTGTCACTGTTAAAACACAAGTCTCGTTTTTTTTTTACACGGATCTCATGGGTGCCATCAGTAAATCATATTAAAAGTGTCTCCCTTTTTTATTTAATAACTCCCAGTGGGACCATACACTCAGTGCCTCAGTCCCCCCACTTCCTGCTATTCACTGTGCCCCATTTCCTCTCTTTCATTCGTCAAGTTACACCCTAATTATGAAATTACCCTACACACAGGTCCTAAAAAATTCAATTAGGTGAATGCAGTTACACCCATATTTTCACCACTAGGACCACATAGGGCGTAACTCATTTTCTCTATTGTGCATGAAGGGGTAAAGTGGCAGCAATTATTTCTGGTAATGAAACTAAGCATTCCTCAAAAGGACCCTACTGGTAGGCGCTCTAGCTTGCAAGCCTGAAGAAATGTGTAGAGAAAAGACAACAAGAAGAAGTTACAGTTTTAGAGGTGGGAGGAAAAGCCCGGAGGAGTACTGGTATTCTGGGGAAAACCCACGAAATCGGGCAGGGACTGAAAACCCAATCCACATTATGGCCTGGGCGGGATTCGAACCCGGGTCACAGCGGAGTAGACCAATCGCAGTGTGATAAATGTCAGACATGTGTGCTCAAAGGTCGGATATGCGTGCTTGTGCTCATGACGTGTGCATCTGCAACATGCAGTTTGGCATCGGAGTGGCGTACGTGATGTTTCCGATGTGCGCAGTGGGTGTGGCTGACTTGATCAGTCTATTTATGCTTGGCTTTATTCCACAAGTGTCTGTCATAAGTAGTTCGTTTTCTCTCTTCTTGCACCATTGAGTGGCACTTATGGTCATAGCTTGCTTCACACACGTCCACTGTGATGACACTTCTTTACGAAGAAACCAGATGACAATTTTGTTAGAAATCTTGAGTTGTTAATTAGTTTTCCCTGGTCTTCCCTTTAAGGTCAACAGGTTCCGTGAGATTACTCGCAGAACCTTGAGACCACTTGCTTCATACTTGCTCATTTGATTTGATCAGTCATTGCCAACCAGCCACTGATGAGAGAAGCGATTAACACTTGTGGTTAATCTTAATCCTCTGCATGCACGAACACTCCCACTGACGTATTGTTGTAGCGAGACTGAAGAGTATTGTTATTGTCATCGTTGGATTTCACCACTTGGAATTTGTCATCCTCCAAATGGCATCAAATCTTTTCCTTGTTCCATTTGCAGGCCAGTTATCGGTGCTTGCTCTCTATAATTATTCTCCGTAAATCATCTTAAGATTGAAGCAGGCTGTATACAGTACATACCATTTAACAGTGTGTACAGCTGATAACAGTCTTAATACAATTGTGAAGCATATATTGTAAAGTTGAATGGGCAAATGGAAATAAATATTTACGATTTGAAAAAAAAAAATTGGAATTGGAAAATCATTTGTTTAGCTCAGCTATTTCCTTCTCCTTTGGCTTAGATCATCTAAAACGATTCTTGACACTTGACTCAACTTTAATTTAGAAGAGGAAGTTGACGTCAAAATTCAAGCCTTCTTTTGCAGGCGAAGGTCGTATGATGAGGATGGTGCCAAAAGAAAAAAGGAATGTTCCAACAAAAACTAAAATCCTGTTCTTTTTATCATTTTTTTCTCACCTTCCCAACCAACTAAACCTCCCTTAATTATCCTCACTTCCTCTTGATTCTCACCTCAGCACCATTCTCCCATTTACCCACTTACATGTACAGCCACAGGATAAGCTTTTATTTTGGGCTCAAATTCAGATGTGACCTAATAAGTGTCAACTGAGTCAGAAATTGCCATAAAAAGCCATGAGTTGCAGATTTATGACAACCACGCCAAGACAAATTTGACCTCACACGAAATGTGACCTACTAAAGTGTAAAATTAGTCAGAAATTGCCACAAAATAACCTTCAGTTGAAGGCTTATGACAACTGCCAAGACAAATTTGCCGCAAAGAAAAAAATGTCAGTGATATATCAGAATAAAGCGCTAATATGTCTAATAATAGAATGTTGATAAAAAATGTGTTAAAATTGTTTTAAAAACTGTCAAAAATAACAATTTGTTTGTCTTTCTTGTTTAGGCTGTAGTAAGAGCACTGGAGGACCTTGCACAGAATGGCAAGATCAAAGAGAAAGTTTACGGCAAACAGAAGGTGTATGTGGCCGACCAGGTAATGACCCCTATCCCAAAATACAGCAGCTTCTTTGCCGAATTGCAGGACAATGAAATTACAAAACAAAATACACTCGTACCTCATCTCCAACTTGACAAAATAATTGAATATGGTATCTGAGAATATTCAGGTAATATTGCCAGATTAGTGGCAGACTTTTGCAGAACACTTTCCTTGGTGGGTAACTATGCTAGTATATGAATTCACAGAAAATTCCAAATCACCTACATCATTTATCGATTAGTCAGTTTGGTTCTCTAAAAATTCTGTTCTAACGTTCTGTTTTATGGTAAGAGCATGATTTTTTTTTCTCATTACAGAGTCAGTTTCCTGATGTTGACGACTCGGAGTTGAAGACAATGGACACCCAAATTAAGGAACTCCAAGACAAACTACAAAAGACACAGAGCACTTGTAAACATCAAGAGCAAGGTGATAATGACATTGACAATGACCTGGACAGTGATCGAATTAACCCTAAACTCCCCAACTCCATCAAAATTCCCCCTTCCCCTCTTCCCTCTTCCCCCCCCCCCCACAAAATATCAGACAAAAGGACAAGTATATATGCAACATCAGGAAATAGAAATAATGAACATTTAATTAGCGCTTCTGCGCTTACAAAAATAATTAACCAGGGGAGAGCATGCAAATATGAATAATATAATTTAAATAGCTAGTTACTGACAGAGCTAAGAATTCATGGGAACCACTACGATGCAATACCGTAGTCTTGGGTATAGGCAATGTATAACTACTGGGTGCAAGGGGGTATAATTGGAACATACTCACAAGACTATGCAGACCATGAACCCTTTGGTGTGGAGTAATGGTGGTGGTGGTGGTGGTGGTGGTGGTGGTGGTGGTGGTGGTGGTGGTGGTGGTGGTGGTGAAAACAAGGCCAAACTAAACTAGGCTCCTAGGCTCCACCTTCTGCAGCCATACATGCATGCACAGGAACTTGGAAAATAAGGAACTAAAATGCACACCGCCATCCACCACCACACGCCCCAGTCGCAAGTCCACACCCTACCGGGCTTTCAAAGGGGTTTTACAGTGCTGGGTCAAAATATGCATGAGAATTTCAAGATTAGGAATACTAATGCAGTGTGTCTTTCTTACTGGGAGCTATTTGCATAAACACTAAGTACAGAGGTATGGGGGCAAGGAACTTATATCCCAGTACTGTGGAGAGTAAACAATACAGACTACAATGGAAGCTCCATCTGTGGTTTGACTGCAACCCAAATACTATCTGTTGTGGTTTAAAGTAGGTTAAGTTAACAAATTAAGCTCTGAAATAGTTTTGTGGCATTAATCTGACTTGAGAACAGGTGTAATACATGTCTACTATGGATTACTGTGGCCAAAACACTCTCTATTTAATTTAAAGGTGCAATTGGGACAATGATAAAAATCAGATTTTGTTACTATGCTGGTGTAGCATGAATTTAGGTTTTATGAAATACGGACTCATTGGTGGTATTGCGCATGCTCATGCATAGATAATAAGGAGAGGGACCGGTCACATGAGAGGGTTTAACCAATAAAAGGGAAAAAGAGTCAGATTTTCATACGAGTCCGATATTCATATGACACCGGTACCATTACATGTCTCCAGATGCCTTACTGATCATTTAAATTTGTCCCTCAAGGTAAATTAGGAATATTGTTTTTGAAATTTTTCTTTTGCAGAGTTGCGATCTATTGATACCTCAATGAGTACAGAACAAGCAAGGGAACGACTGGAACAAGTCAACCAAGAGGTACAGTGCTATCTCAATGGCATCATATCCCAAATTCCCCAAAAATGATAATAGGGCTATTTTTTCCACCTTTCTTCAACAACTCCCCCTGTCCGTGTCACTAATTGGTCTCTGTGAATGCCCCATTCCTCCCGCTACCATCTGCTTGGATCCTGCTTCCTGTTACTCACTTTTTATTATTATGTATTGATCCAAGCCTCTTACTCATTTGCCTATATTAGAAGTGGTAATCTCCATACTAGTTCAAGTCAAGGGCGAGGATTTCAAAAATGGATCATTTCGATTGTTTTGTTTGAGCGTTGCTTGGTTACTCTAATAGAGATTTTTTTTTCAGAAGTAATGACCGGCTATTTTCCTGCAATGTGATCAGTGCATGTTAACCATTATGATTTTAATAGTAGTTACCAAAGCTTGTTTAGAGTTGAAGACAATTAATTTAAAACTGGCACCATCCAGAGCAATAGATAGGACTATTATTGGGCCTTTGAAATACAGGGTGTCTAAAATAAAATGTAGCAGTCAAACATTTTGGGTTTTTTTAAGTTGAATTAATTTTTTGTGTAAACAAAATTACCATGATATGATAGAGTGTTTCTTTACCCTCGACACGATATTTGTTCTGTGTGATTTGAACCTTTTGTTTAACAGTTGTGGCAAAGTTTGTAAAGACGGTCAAAATATGTTTGGGCCACTTTCTAATATTGTTTACAACACCTTCTTGGTACATACAAATGTATGTAAATGCCTTTCTTTAGATACCAGATAATCTGAAAAATGGCCCAACTTGGAACCCAAGTCGTTTCATTTAATTAGCTGTATCTCTGGACTGGGGTGTCCAAATGAGATGGGATAAAGACCATTGTGTAGAGTATTTACTACACCTCCAGACTCTATATATAAGTTTTGCAAATTAGAGAGTGCTAGTTGGTTTTTTTTTAATTTACGGATTGACTGCTAGATTTTTAATTGGTACACGCTGTAGAAGCTAAAATTGACAAAGTTTGGCTTCTTTATAATGACTCTAATATGCTACACAGTAATGTCACGAAAGAATCCGTTTTGCACTTGGCGCCTCGCTTTTGTCAAAATTCTGTACAAATATTAAAAAGGGGCCCCCAAAATGTGTACCCTGCAGTTGGTATGAACATACAAAATTAAGAGAAGTTGGAGATAAACCTGTGAGTGACCAGTTTGGAATAAATGAATGACATCCATTGAATTGACAGATTGAGTGCAACAAGGAGAAGTTGGCAACCCTCACGTCCGCCACCAACCACGTCAGGCCAGAAGAAAAGGACAAAATCTATGCCAATCAAGCCAAATATGTCAAGGGGTGGAAGAAGAGAAAGAGAATGGTATGAACACCAGATGGTAAATGTGATGCTAATGCTTCAAAGGTCTCAAAGCGCTTCACAATTCCTTCCCTCCTCCCTTCCTTCCTTACAAGTGCAGTCTTCATGTGGTTGAAGATAAACGCACTGCCAGAAACAACCGGGGCAAACCCCTTCTCTTAGCGATAAGTGTTACTGGGTTCTTTTACGTGCATTACACACGGGACCTACGGCTTTACGTCCCGTCCGAAGGACGAAGCGATAGTGGTTAAGTGTCTTGCTTAAGGACACAAGTGTCAAGACCGGGACTCGAACCCACATTCTGCTGATCAGAAACACCAGCAGAGCTTGAGTCCGGTGCTCTTAACCGCTCGGCCATGACACTCCACAATTATTACCCCTGTTCATCAGGCCATGAGACCATTTTTTTGCAGCAGCTTGAGATCAGCGCATTCTGGTCTCTACCTAATCACAGGTGACCATTTATACTCCTGGGTGGAGAGAGGCAATTGTAGTAAAGTGTCTTGCCCAAGAACACAAGCACCTGTCAGGATTCGAACCCACGTACCACAGCACTTGAGTAGAACACTGTAACCATTTGACACAGCGTTCCATGGCAGTGTGTGTTCTAAGATACTTGATGGAAAGATTAACACTCATTTGTAAAGCAACTCATTTTTTTCTTCTAAATCTATACCTGATTATTTTTAAATCAACGTTTTAGCTACAAACATAAAGATGTCCAGCATAATACCGGTACATTGCATTTGTTACATTTTTCTCTCTTTTCTGCAACAGACAATGGACATAGTCAACGCAATCCTGGAAGGCTACCCCAAGACCAAGAAACAATTATTCGTAAGTTACTCTAAAACTGCAACTTTTTGTTAAAACAACCTGAAAATTACCAAATTAGAACAAATCCAAGCACAAGCTTGAGTTCACTTCTTCAATTTTAGTAATATTCACGAGTCCAATGTACTTCTTTGGTTTCTTTTACTAAATAGGAGGATGTTGGGCTGGAAACTGATGAGGAATACAACGTGAAAATTCCTGAATAGCGCCAAAAAAAACTGAGGAGTGAAATAAGAGAAAGGTAAGTCTCATTCACTCGACAATTAACTCTTCTCTTACAACAATACGTATGTCAGCCTGAAGTTGTGGCCATTAGTCATGACAAACCAATTTATTAGCTTGATGTCATGGTGTGTTGAGTTATTCTGTCCAATTAGGGATCTAATTTTAAAGTCATCAGAGTTGAGTTTGGCTGGTTTGCCCTGGGTTACAAGACCAGAACTTGACGTTCTTTGCATAATCTGACAGCTCTACCAGCTGATCCATATGGTCATGGAAGTTCAGTGTCATACACTTGAACACTCTGAGTCAACCAGTATAACCCCAGATTACTTGGCCTTGTCACGATATCATCTCCTGGACCTTATAGATTGGACAATTTGGCTCCTTGTGGGAGAAAAACCTTCAATTTCTGATAAACTCATATCGCACCATCACAATGTAATTCTGTTTGGTTGGAGAGGATTGATCCTAAGCTTCTGTAAATATATATCTTTTGAAGAGGAATACAGAATATTTTTGTTATCAGTCATATATAGCCCAATGTGCAGGAGTTTGTCTCTTACTGACCTTTTGAGGGCACTGTAGCTTCAGTTGTTTAGTGGCTACGTTCCTGACCAATTGAGGGCGCTATAGATTCAATTTTTTAAGTGGCTATGTTCCTGACCAATTGAGGGCACTGTAGCTTCAGTTTTTTAGTGGCTATGTTCCTGACCAATTGAGGGCGCTGTTGTTTAATTTTCTTTTTAGTGGCTACGTTCCTGACCAATTGAGGGCGCTATAGATTCAGTTTTTTAAGTGGCTACGTTCTTGACCAATTCAGGGTGCTGTAGTTTCAGTTTTTTAGTGACTACATTCCTGACCAAATGAGGGCGCTGTAGATTTAGTTTTTTAAGTGGCTACGTTCCTGACCAATTGAGGGCGCTATAGATTCAGTTTTTTAAGTGGCTACGTTCTTGACCAATTCAGGGTGCTGTAGTTTCAGTTTTTTAGTGACTACATTCCTGACCAAATGAGGGCGCTGTAGATTTAGTATTTTAAGTGGCTACGTTCCTGACCAATTGAGGGCGCTATAGATTCAGTTTTTTAAGTGGCTACGTTCTTGACCAATTCAGGGTGCTGTAGTTTCAGTTTTTTAGTGACTACATTCCTGACCAAATGAGGGCGCTGTAGATTCAGTTTTTTAAGTGGCTACGTTCCTGACCAAATGAGGGCGCTATAGATTCAGTTTTTTAAGTGGCTACGTTCCTGACCAATTGAGGGCTCTGTAGTTTCAGTTTTTTTTAACCCTAACAGTCCTGAATCCTCCAATTTCAATATAATTTTGCACACCCCCTAGGGAGTTAGGGCTAATGGCTATGTTCCTGAACAATTGAGGGTGCTAATAGACACATACCCTTATTTGCCAACACATTTTACTTTGTACAGCATAATAATAAAGTATATCAGGGTTAATGTTAAGGTAATTTTACAATGAAAAATTGTATTGGGTTCTTTAAATTAGACAACCCACTCAATAAAACAAGATCAGAGACACTGCTCTGCAAAATTGTCCTTATTCCCGGAAGCCTATTAACACAGTTCCACTTACAAACCGCAGCTAAATCGGTGCTTACTTTTCCGCCCACATTTTCAACGGGTAATAAAAAAGTCACCATTATAACCCGACCTTGCTCAGTGAATCATCTCCACATTGCAGCTTATTAAAAGCCTCACCACAAAAATGAACTTAGGGAAGTCGTTAATCAAAAACTTTCTAATAAATTCCTCAGAGGGTCAAGTCCCTCTTATACTTGGCAGAGGGGACAATGAAGGTGCTGTAATGATCAGGGTTGGTTGAAAGATCCTGAGCCAAGTGGTTGAACATTGCTGGAAGTGCTTTGACCTAATATTCAGTCCTTGAAAATGATGAGCAGTTACGTGCATGGCCAGTTAATTAATTAATTAATGGAAGTAAAATTAGCAGGTGCCACAACCCTGCCAGAGTCATTAGTAACAGGTGTAAAATAAAAATTGTTGTTATCCTTTCATTCCATGTTATATATTTTTATAAAGAATATACCTCATGATCTATCGCGTGTTACCTGTGATAAGATTACATTAATGAGTTCCGGAATCCAGTGCATTCTTTACAGAGTTATACGACCTTTCCTAAAAAAACGTGCCAATTTTAATCCGATGCAAATCCTGCACATGTTTTGTTCTTTCCAAGGCTTCGTTCATTAGTGTGAACATTAACGTCCGGATGTTTGTGAAGTTGATTTGAATTAAAATAATGTCAAACCACTGTTAATTGGCACAGGACAGGAAAGATTAGTTTTTAAAGTTTTAAGGAAGTGTGCACTCTTTGTTATCCAAAACTTCTAAAACGTTTTTTGTGCAGGAATATTTTAACATTGGTAACTCTTCCAATGGTGTTTTTTTTTCTATCTGCAGTGTTCCTGATTAAGCTGGCTGTGCCATTCCAAATCCAGCGGCATTTACTCTACTGCGTTATTCTAAATCCAGAGGGCCTCTACTACTGTTTCCAACTTTTGGCAGGGCCGTTCCAAATCCAGAGCAACCTACATACTGCAATTCTATGCCCAGAGGGAACTGCATTACAAGCCATCTTGGTTCCAAGTATGTTGGTTCAGTAATCTAATACAAGAATTAAACAACGCAGTATGAGACACCCATTGTACTTTCACCATAAAATTCATATTATAATTTTCATTATTCTGCATGATTCACATTTTCAATGTGCAGCAAAAAAAGAAACGTCACTCGGAAAGCGTGATACTTAGCCATTGTACAATCTTTGGTTAAAACTCTATTCTGTACAATCATCAACACTGGTAATAAATGCGATAGGAAAATACACATTGTGTATGTACATAACTGAACACTACAGCTGCTTTGCAAAGAAATCAGTGGATTAGCAGCAACAGATACATAATACAAGACAAAAACAATAGTCTTCATTTGAGAAACAATACACTGATAATAGAATCATCCTTCAGGATGGATGATTCGCTTCATGAATACATTCGGTTCCTGGAAATCAGAGCATCAATTATATAAAGTCGTTAATTGAGAGCTTGACCACTTTTTTACGGCAAATAAGTACAAATATGTTTAAGCACCATACATCTGAGGTGGTGTAAGTCTTTTCCAAGATTTCTGTAATTTATTTTTTCTCTTTTTAATATTTTGGGGAACCTTACTAAATAGTAGCATTCTTGTGACCTGTTAATGTTTTTAGGCATGAAATTGGGACTAGCATGACTATTACTGATTCCTAGAGTCCGAGGTCCCCTCCTACTCCTTTCATTAACACTAAGTTTATCACGACTTATCATGACGTACATTGACTAAAACACTTGACGCAAACCACTATTTATTTATATTAAAGGTCAAAGTCACTTGTTAATATTTCAGTTTGTACGTAGTATAACATGCAGATTGTTGTACCCATTTACGTGTCCACAGATTAACTGTGACCAAAGAAAGATTAACCCTCACGCTGATTTAAAAAAAAGCCAAATTAAGGTCTTAATTAGCTGCGTGTGTAATATATGGAAGGATGTTTACATATAACGAGCCTTTTAGAGGTCGCCGATAATTTTGTTGTGACGTCATATCCTTTGGCAATTAAGACGCTAATTGTTCAATGTTGATGGAGCCATAAGGATTAGATGAAATGACTTCCACTTGGTCAGAATTTTTAAATGGAAATGACAGGTGTTTACACAGCTTACACGGCAAAAAAATGGACAAAAATAATTTTTAAAATAACTTTCAAAAGGTAAGGGGTATCCCTTACTTGTTTTTATTCAAATTGAGTACAATTGAATTTTTGCCGAATTTTAAAAAGGCAAGGGGTGAACCTTGGAGATTTATAGATAAAACGTTAACCTTGCATTTCTTATATGCAAAATTGCAATTTTCCTGAAATTTTCAAAATAAGGGGTTAACCCTACATTTTTATTATGGATAGGCAAAATTGGAATTTTTTTCTTAAATATAAAGTGTAAGGGATGTCAATTGTTACATTTTTACATGTATGGCAAATGTGCAATTTTTCTTAATATTTCAAAATGTTATGGGGTTAATCCAATATTTTTCTCAAAAATTCAAAGGGTAAGGGGTTAACCTTATCATTTAATCAAAATGGGGCAAAATTTGAAAGGGTTAACCTTACATGTACATTTTTATTAAAATTGGGCATAAGAATTCTCAAAAATTCCAATTTTGCCTATTGCATAAAAATCAGGGAAAATGTCTAAACTTGCATTTTTCAATACTCACCGGAAAGCTCAAGACAAAATCGCATATCTTATCCATTTCAAGAAGTTCCATTTTCAATTTTTCTTCAAATTGTTGTTGAATACTCTTACAAAAGTCTCAGAAAAACATATTTCCCTCCCAGTCCAATATATAGCATGGCATTTCATGATAATTCACTCGTAGACAACAACAAAGTTCAGACATGATGCAAACCTTAATATAAGACGTACATAATAAATAGCATTAATATTTCACAAATCATAATATTTTTTCGAAAAACATATTCAGTCTATGAAGAGTACATATATACAAATATATACACATAGCATAAAACATATATAAACATATCCTATTTCATTCTGTACACTGTATACATTTTATTACACGCTATACACATGGCGTCACCTGTTTCGACTTGAAAACCTTTGTAATACTATTACCACGATATTACACAGTAATAGTACAAGAACACTGCTGGATATTCTCTGCGCCGCACCTGTTGTAACCGTTTGAGTTGTTACCATTGTAGTACTAGCGCCTAGTAGAGGCGACAGGTACATATAGGATACTACCATGGGGCTACGGGTGTTGACCAGCGCACCGATTTTCTCAGCCTCTTTGTTGCAGGCAGTGATCTGAATGAATGAAAGCAAAGTTGAGTGAAATTCAAGTTGGCAATCTGTACTTTAATTGTGACTCAAAAATATTTCAAAAATTATCATTTTTTTGCAATTTTTGTCCCTTTTAAAAGTTGACCCTTAGCATATTTGATATGCGCCGCAGCACCTTGGAAACCCTTATAAGGTGCTACATAATGGGTCTCATATTTCTCATAAACTTCATTTACCAGTCTTTAATAATAACATAATTTCCAGCGCCTTGAGTACCTAATTGTTGGTAGATACGTGCGCTATATAAGACTCCGTTATTAATATTACTACATGTACAGCAAAGTTAGTTGTGTAAAAAATCCTTCAGATATTTCACTTGATTATGTAAAAGCTCACTCCAATACGGGCAGGTAATTTAGAGTTAGAAGTTGAAAAAAAAAAATACAACGTACCTGCGTTTCACTTGGTATTGCAATTGTAGACATCACAGAGATAACAATGTCCCCTTCAATACTAAGGTAGCCGTACAGATCACACTCGGCCTAAGCATGGGGGGGGGGAAAGGCAAACACTACTTTTATATAGGCCTAACAATCTAAATCAATTTAAAACAATTGATGAAATTTTTTGAACAAAAGACCCAATGCCCAAGGACTGAAAGGATCTGTTGTTCTCCCTTTGTGTGTTGGTCCTCGGGGGGGTTATGTAGAACACGTACAGTACGTGTACACAATGTGTCCCGTCCACGGGACTATCAAAAGCGGTCAAAAGCTCCCTCTCTGTTTGTGCACGAAGCCATTGCCTATTTCAATCTCTTCTACTTACCACAGCAATGAGTGTCCTGAGACCCTTTAAGACTTCGGCAACTGATACTGCCTTGTTGCCAAAGGCAGCTGCTGCCCTGTCGGCCTCGTCCTTACTGTAGAGTATCCTGGTGTAGGCGGCTGTCAATAAAACAACAGGTTGAAATCTTGGGTTTTAATCACAAAGACTTAATCTGATATATCCTTCAAATCCAATGGTAAACCTCATTAGATATGCAGTTTAAAGAATATCTTGTCCGATATAGTTACAAGTAGGCCTAGCAACTTTCTAGGGTGGGTAGATGTCCGAAAATACAGATTTAAGTAGAAATGAATCCTAAGGTGTCCCATTTTGGCTTACGTTACAAACACAGATATTTTTTGAAATAGCAGTCGTGTTGATCTCTTACCACAAACAGGGCAGCATGCTCCAGGGGGTGTCACCCCTATGCAGTGTGGTACAGATGTATCCGGACATTTCACCGACGAACACTGCGGGGCAGTCTCGTTCTCTGCAACATAAAATCCAAACTTTTTTATCAGATCACAAAACCAAAAAAATAACTCAATTTGCTAAGAACTTTGCTGAGCACAGAAAAAAATTTGGCTTAGCAAAAACCGGTTATCTGCAAACCTCTGAATAATTCGATTTTTATGAAGAAATAATTCAATAAGTAAATGCCGGCAGATTTGTTTTCGTTGGACGTCTCATTCAAAAGTGAATAACTTTTATATTGCTAGAAAAATAACAATTGAAAGAAAACATATCTCATTCAAAAGTGCATAACTTTTAAATTGCTAGAAAAATAACGCTTGCCAGAAAACATATCTATTTTTTGAGGTGAAACTCGAAAATAGCATAAGGAACACATCTTTAGCTAGTACTATAGATCAACAGAGCGCCAGTGCTGCCAGAACACAATAAAAGACATTCATGCTTACCTGTTCGCTTTCCCACAGCCACACAAGGTCCATAGTAGTCAATGATAGCCCTGTTACTCCATGCTGCACATTCGCTGGGATACGTCTCCCCATCCTGACCACACACCTGACGTCTGTTGACTGCATTACACCTCGCCTTACAAAATAAGGACAAATAAATATTAATTTCTGTGCAATAAATGGTGGTACAAGTACAGTTAGATGTAGTATGAACAGCTGTGCAGGCACCATGTTGAAACACATATCTCATTACAGCAGTTAGCATAAGTAAAAAAGATAAACTGTGATAATATTTCTGCATCAGTCACCCAGAAGATCATTTTGGCACTTCTTTTCAATTTTTGGTTCTAAAAAGCAGTATTTATTTTCAATTTCAGAGGGATAATGTACATAGAGACGTGTAGACTGCTCAAAACTAAGTTCCGACAAAGAGACCAACGCTACACATTCATGTGTCGACATCTTCCAAAAAAAGACTATGTCTGCATCCGAATCAGTTATCTAGAGCTACATGTAGGTCTGCGCCCATTGAAAATACGCGGGGACGCGTGCTGATAATAGACGTAGCCGTAGCTCTGGAAGCCCGTTTTGGACACAGCCTATGAGAGATCAGGTTCTTTTACCTGGCACGGACCCAGGTAGTCTAGTGTCTTGCCTCGCTTGTGCAAACTGCATAAGTTAGAGTGTTCTCTACCGTCGGTATCACACGATGGGGCCCTGGCTTCCTTGCTACAGTGATGACTTGGTACGACTATTAAAGAGGACAGAAAATACGTGCAGTCAAATACAACGCAAGTCAACAATTTTCTTCAGATGAGCTGATTCCGCCATCTTTGTCGCATCCTGTGCTACTAAAAATGTCACTAAAAAAAGTGCAAATCTTGTAAGGCTTGAAATATCCTTTCTCTTTAACACATGGATATACACACAAAAGGAATAATGTAAATTAAGTATCTACCAGTTCCCACAAACTGACAAGACAAATAGAGCAAAAAGACTCTAAATGGTAGAAAACATTTGTTTCAATGTTGGTCTTTAATAAAAAGGCAAGAAAACTAGCAAGTTTTTTAGAAAGCATCAACTCGGTAGAAGTATCTGGAGACTTTTTTGGAAATGTTTCAAATGACTACTTACTGCACTCATACTGCGGACAGTCTGCATAGTTGATACTAATGCACACCTGACGTCTGGTGACACACCTGAATCAACAAAGACCAAGACAAAGAAATCTTAAAATAGTAGATAAAAGTTGACCCCACAAGCTAAAAAAGCTTTTAGAAAGGTATTCCCTGTCCCTTGCCATGGTAGGAATGAATAGCGCCCTCTATTGGCCTACCTTTCATTAGCTGGGCATGGGTTGTCCGCACAGGGGTTGCTGAGGGAGTCGCATGTCCCAAACTCAAACTGATGGTCCTCCAAATCAGCTGCACACCTGCAATTCAAGACAAATTATGGACTAATTCTTTTTGGCAGAGTAAACTCAGAAATAAGCAATCACATTTCTAAAAATGTTCTTCTCTTGTACACTGGCTACTTCATTTTATTAGTCAACACAGAAATTTGATACATGACACCTCACAACCCAGTCAGTTTACGATAACTGCCCTCCCGACCCTCAACTGGACACGCCCACTTTTGGGTACATCCCCCACTTACTTAGCTGTGCAGGCACTTGGGTACGTGCGTCCGTTAGCCCCACAGACAGGCACATACTGGTCCGTGCATTCGCACGGCAGTGTGGTGTACTGCTGGCTGGCGTCCAGTTGGACGTTGAGACTAACAGGGCAGTCTCTCCTGGAGCAGGTCTCGACGCCGTTGAAGCACACGCATTCGTTGCAGTTGATCTTGTAGTGGCTTCCGTGCTCTGAAAGATAAAAATGGGAACTTGATTAATTTGAGACATGTTTCCCCTTGGGTGTTCTGATTATACTCATGCTACCTCACAGATTCAAGAAACAAAATCATTCAATGAAAATGCTGTACAGTTGCTATTTAGTCATCACAAGTCCATCATAAGTTTTCACAAGTCATATGTGATTGACTTGTGACTGACTTGTGACTGACTTGTGACCGACTTGTGACTGACTTGTGACCAACTTGTGACCGACTTGCGAGGGAGGTGGAATGCACTTGATTCCAATTCTGAAATAATTCTTTGAACAAAGAAAAAATAAGTTGAACAAAGAAATTGACTGGAGTTGGGTTTGAACCTGCAACCTCCGGATTGCCGTTCCGGTGCTCTACCAACTGAGCTATCCAGCCCTATGTTTGCGGTTCCCCATTTTGTCAATGTCTTTGTACAAGGGGTGCTAGTCAGAACTTCAGAAGCCACAAATCCGTATCTATGCCATGTAGCCAGGGACAACACCCAAATTTACTATGCTATCAACATTAGCAATGCTGATTAGCAACATTAGCAACGGGAATCACTCAGCTTTTTATTTAACCAGATTACCTTTTCTCTCTCCGTCGTGGGTACAGAATTCCTTGCTCTCACACTGCAGCGGCTGACAGTGTTCCAACATCCCATTAGAGCTGCAAGTACATGCCTTGTAGCAATCCAAATTATCAGCCGAGTCCGGTAAGCGCACGTTGCTTCCGCGCGTCACCAGGAACGTTGAGGCGTCGCCGAGTCTACAGCCCGGGGTGCACTTGGCCTGGGTGCACATCTCACCATAGCCGCACAGGCCACGGTTGATGGAGCAGACCCCACTGAAACCGGTGGTTTCATTGTTACAGGGGTCGCTGTGGCAGGGGACTGTGGTCTCGCTTTTCTTGGTCTCTCGTGGTTCGAGATCTGGTCAAGAAATGTTTCAAACTGATCAGGCGTTGTATGGTTGAGCTCATAACATTTCTTTGGGTAAAAAGTATTAGCCACTCACAGGCCGGCTCACACTTTGAACACACAAATTTGAGAGCAAAACAATTGCGGAGATGGAATTTGTGAAAATTTTATATTTTGGTTTTGCCCTTTGCCAACGTATTTTTATAACACTGTATACTCGGTCTTGTTGGAAGGCTCGCGAGAAAAATTCACAAGCTTGAACCGGCAAGCCGAACTCGGCAAGCTCGGTGGTCGAGTGATAAGACATCTGCACTAGTAAGCAGGAGGTCATGAATTTGATTCCACCCGAGTCAATTTTTTCTCGCATGCCCCGAGTATACAGTGTTTCAAAATATGTTGGCAAAGGGCTCCAATACAAAAACAAGTTGTGTAACTTAGTACAATTGAAGAAGTACAATTGAAGAAGTCATGATGTTCGCTTTACTTTCATGTGTGAAGGAAGAACTGAGCCTTAGGCCTGACGCTTAAGGGACACTCGTTCATACTTACTGAGGTATTCACTAAGAGGAATGCAAGGTGCGTGGCCGTCCAGCGGGGACAGGATGTTGCACAAGCCCTGTGCCGTCAGACCCTTGGCCAGGCGAGACTGGTCAATGCACTGACTTAAGATGTGGATGCAATCAGCCCTGAACAAAAAATCAAAACCCAGGTTAAAACAGTCTTTGAAAATCAGGTGAATAACAAGGGAGAAACTGACTAGATGCATAATGATTTTAAAGTTGAACAAAGAAATTGAGTGGGGCGGGGTTTGCACCTGCGACCTCCGGATTGCCGTTCCGGTGCTCTACCAACTGAGCTTTCCTGCCCTATGTTGGCGGTTCCCCATTTTGTCAATATCTTTGTTCAAGGACGCTAGTCAGAAGCCATAAACCCAAATAGCCAGGGATCACGTCTATGTCACGATGCTAGCAACATTAGCAATGCTTGCAAACCTGGGAAATAGCAAACAGAGATCACTCATCAGAGAGGATCAGTTCTTTGAAAATTCATTTAGTGGGTTTCAAAAGTATTACTCACAGAAACAGCCATTTTGAAAAGACAAGGACCACAAAACGTTCACCTCAAAACAGGAAACGCAAATCTTCACTTCCTAAAGATAAAGTTTTAATGCTATCGTTTTGAAGAGCTTAAATTTCATCGCAAGAAAATCGTAAGTTCATTCACAAGTCCAGTCACAAGTAACAGGATGAGCAACATAGGAATGCCTTTGCCCCAGTTTGTCTGAAGAACTTGAGGACTCTAGGACTTGTGATGACTTGTGATTGACTTGTGATTGACTTGTGATGAATTGTGATGACTTGTGACATCTTGTGATGACTTGTGACGTCTTGTGATTGACTTGTGACGACTTGTGATTGACTTGTGACGTCTTGTGATGTCTTGTGATGACTTGTGATGACTTGTGATGTCTTGTGATGACTTGTGATGACTTGTGACGACTTGTGATTGACTTGTGATTGACTTGTGATTGACTTGTGATGTCTTGCGATGACTTGCGACGACTTGTGATTGACTTGTGATTGACTTGCAATGACTTGTGACGTCTCGTGGTGACTTCTGATCAACCACAAGTACTGTTCCTACAAACACTGGCCCAGACTTACTTGCATATCATATTGACGTGCGACTCTGGATGGCACGGCTTGACTTGCAGGGTGCACGCGATAGCCTTCCACATCTCAGACTCGCACTCGTCGATGTCCAACACGGGGATGTCCATGAACGGCATGCGGATCAAACCCTCGCTCCACAGCTGCATGTCGCTGGCCGCACCGGTGTCTGACCGGGCCGAGCAGCTCCGGAACAGGTCCGTGGGTCTGGGGAGATTGAACACGATGAATATTAAATTGTAGAGTGATGTCGAAGAATTTAGAGGGACTCTGCAAAGATTTCAGCATTAAACTTGCTGTGTTTTAAATGAGCTTTGAAATTTTACAAGTTGTCGGCAGTGCTAAACAGTGATTGTCAAGAATTATTAAAAGTTTGAAGAATTAGCTGCTAAGGCTTAATAAGAGTTACAGCAGTCAAGAACAACTTCACACAAAAAATTGTTGGGCATACAAAAAAACTGTTCTTCAGCAGCAAAGAAACACAGGAAACAAATAAATATTTAATTTTGCTGTTTTTTTATGGGTAGATGAGGACGTCTTTACAATATAGCCAAATTCTTCCAAATCTTTACCTGTCGTTAAAGTTGGTGCAGTACGTCAGCCCACTGCAACCTGGCTGGCATGGCTCTTGAACTGTTGAAAGATGCAAATCACAGCTTGATATTGCTTGGTAACACAAGATAAATTCCTGACAACTCTCCAGAAAGAGCGCCCTCTAGTGTTCAACATTCACTGACAAATCAGCAGCACAAGCTTTCTCACAACATTACCAATGATGCATCCCGTCATTAAGTTTAAATAATTTTCATCATCTATCTGTTCCTCAATTTTTATTTTTTTTTACTTTGTCCTATGTACGATGGAGCATTTTCTTTCAATAGTTCTCTTGTAACAGATTTTTGGCTCATAATGCTATATAACAAATGCTGAATCGTGACTGCTGCACGTGTGCACAAAGCCACTCGAGAAACCATTTATGACTGTATGACGGTAAAAAGGGCGTTGGAAACACTTGTAGCCTGCGGTCTCGGTGATATTGTACTGACCATCTGCTAGGCACGTGAGTAGCGAGACCTCCATGGGTTGATACTGGCAGTGCTCGTCGAAGTCATTCCAACTCTGCTTGGTAGCCCAGGAGGTGCTGTACAGCTGCAAATGGATTGATCATCAGCAGGAAATCAATAAACGATTGGAAATTGATCAGTCATTAACAAAATCAGCTCCAATCAATAATGACAAGCAACACACTTTGATATGCGGTGACAGATACCAAATGGAATTGTTATTAACATTGGCGAATGTAAAACATTTATTAAACTGTGTATTGTACTCAAAAGTATGGGCATCCAAAGAGTAACTGTGTGAAAAGTACATGTACATGGCAAAAAACCAAAGTCGGCATAAAACATGGGAAAAATCAATCTCGTGTAATTTGACCAAAAAAACCTGTGCACGGAATAAGCAAAACAAAATTTCAAATATGGGATTATCTGAGTCTTTACCTTGACACATATTTCTCTACACCTTGCACTGACGGCTCTACTGCAGCACTGTAGCTTGGCCCCGTCCAATGCACTCAGGTTGGGTATAGGGTTGTCTGGCGCAATGTGAGATCCTGTCAAATCATAACAGGAGACTAGTTACTTGTATATGGACTTTTTGGACAAGTACCCCGTCAAAATGGTTTACTGACATTACTGCTCTCTGCCAATAATTAAGTTTAGTCATCTCGTGCATGGACCATTAAAGTTATTATACAACATTTGTTTTTGATGTAATTTTCAGAAATGGATGGATTTGGGGGTTAGTATTATATAGCAAATGTTGTTAAATTGACCTGTTTAAAGATGCTGGAAAAACTAAGGGAAAAATGCTGTGCTTAAAATTTAGTTCCCTGACCCTACTTCAGATGAAACAGAGCAATTTATAGACGTCGAGGAATTGTCAGGTCAGGGAACCAGACTAGCTTTTTGTATCAGTTTCCAACGATGGTCGACCGACCATCGTTGGAAACTGATACAAAAAGTCCACTTTTTTTGAAACAGCACAACACCTTTAAGTCTTGGTCCCAGACTGAATTTTGATTTTGTTCTCCAAATGCAGCTGGTCCCTGGCAAGCATGGTCAAGCAACCATACCGCAATAGAGGTCGCAATCAACATGTGAATCAAAACCAATCTTTGGAACATTGGCACTGAGACCCAAGAAATTCCAAGCATACCTCATGTGCACCCAATAGTTTGAGTACAGCATGTGCAAGGTGTGTTCACAATTTCCTGGGTCTGCTTGCCGAAATTCCTAAGACTAGACGCTGCACATCACAGTTGAAATCAACTGCTCGTACATGACCCTCTGCGTCATTATTGGGTGCAAGTCAGGAAAAAAGAACGGCAGAAGTTAATTTACCTGAATTGAGAAGGAAGCAATTCCACATGCCAACATGTGGCTGGATGGTGCCTCCACATCCAGCAAGCAAGGAATCAATGATCTCGGGTTCTGAGGTCAGGTTGGTGTGGACGCGTCGGCAGGTCTCCTTGCAGGCAGCGCTCTGCGAATGCTCACAGCAATGTAGACCTGAAGCAAAGTATATACATGTATATTTAAAAGCTTAATGAAGAGAAGTTGGAGGTGTAATGAATAGGGATTATAGAAGTTTTATTTTGACACCAATTGTGTAGATTTGACACCAGAGCTTTTACACAACAAATGCAATTCTTACTCACTGCTTTTAAAATACCTAGCCGCAATAACCACTGAAATGTAGATTAATAATGTACACTTAGTACTTGTAATAAGTTTGATGGCAGGTCAACTGACACAAAAATGGAAAACATTATTCGACACCTAAAGTGTAGATTTAACACTAGAGCTTTTACACCACACAAATCACAATTCCAACTTACTGTCTCTTGGGTCTCTGGCTGGAATGGCCTAAATCTGCACCTAAAGTGTAGATTTAACACTAGAGCTTTTACACCATACCAATCACAATCCTAACTTACTGTCTCTTGGGTCTCTGGCCGGAATGGCCACCGAGGTGTAGTTCTCGACACACTGGATGACCGTTCGACTGACATCCCGACAGTATATAGAGACGTCCAGCGACATCTCGTCGGTGGGTGTCATGGCATCGAAGACCGCCTCGCATTTTTGATGACACTGGCTGACCACTGAGGCATGCCGGCAACAATGCTCCTTCTCTGTAATAAGAAAATACACTTGAATAATAAGACTTTCTATAAACCATGGATTTTTTTCTTGTGAAACGTGTCCCTCAAATCCCAAATAAATTTGAAAATCCCAAGCTCAAAATCAAAATTGGTTTAAACAATCCACGACAACCACGGAGTAGTCTACTGAATCTCCTCCCATCCATGGGCCACTGGATTAATGTATCGAAAATCCCAAATCCACATCCAAATCTCAAAAATCAACCTATAAAAATGATAAAAACTAAGAAATTCTGGTAGACACTTTCATTAAAAATCTGACTTACTCTCAAATCTGTCCAAGCACTGGAACAATGAAGGCTGCATGAAGAGGTAAAAAAAAAATACACCTTTAATTAAAATCGAAGAAGCAGCACACATTGGTTGAAATATTTGCTAGTCCAAAACATTCAGAATGGATTTAATTGGAAAGGTTTCCAGTTTTGAATAAAGTTTCGAGAAATTCCTACCTCTTCGTGTCTCAAACAGGTTGACGATGCTTCTGAGAAAGAACTTGCCTGCAGCGACAGAAAAGAAAATCAAATGATGCGGGAATTATTAAAAGATAGACCAGCTTTGGTTAGTACGTAGATCAATCATGAGTTCTTAAAACAACTGGACTCAAACTCTTTAACTGAAGATAGGGGATATTTTGCCGGAGGTAATGACGGCAAACTAACGATTACTAAAGGTTTGCCGGCGGCAATCCATATCAACAGAGGGCGCTGTACTCTTTAAAATAGGGCTGAATTATAAGATGTATTAAATTCCCTCCAAAAGTTGTGTAGCACGTTTGGTGTAATGGTTAAGCAAAGGCTCTAGTAAGCGGGATGACTCGCGTTCGATTCCGACCGCAACACATTTTTAAGTTTTTTTTTTCTCATCCCCAAATAAATAAGAATATTCTTCTTTTATTATTTTCACATGTCTCAAACATTTTTTGCAGAGTATTACATTTTCTTTTTCAGATTTGTGGCTCTGGAGGATTTTTTTTAAAAGGGAAATAAAGTCCCAAATTATAAACTGGTCTGAATCCCATCTTGTGAATACGAGGTAACAACGATAATTTTGGCATGGAGCCAGACTAAAACTTTTCACCGGAAAATGTTGAAGTACAAAAAAACAGTAACTGCGCATGTTCAGTGCATATCTGGCAAACTAACGTTTACTAAAGGTTTGCCGTCTCCGGCAAAATATACACTGCCTTAACTGAACCATCTTGTGTTCTTAAATTAAATTTAAATCTTTGAAAAAAAATAGAAGAATTCAGCCAATGAAGCTCTGTTGTCAAGAAATCCAAACTTATATTTGTGTCTAACCGATAGGTCTTTAATGTTAATCATTCCCTTTACAAGTCCCTATGTTTAGAGGCCCAAAACGTTATTATGCTAAACCGCACAGTACCACTGGAGAATGTTGCACCTACACAAACTAAACAGTTGAACTGAACAATTTTATTTTCTAGTTGGTCTTCCAGCATTCTTAGTGAGCCTCATCACTCTTTACTCCAACGTCCTGAGTCCCTCTCATCCCTAATATCCACCATCCAGGAGGTTGACAAATTGTTCATTACATCTCGTCAGGCCCCTCCTCTGGACATTTAACCCTCTGACATTTTCGCCGGCTAAAAAACCAAGCCTTTACTCCAGCCGACCAAACCAAACCAAACCGTAAAACTCTGAGCCAGAAACGTGATCTGCGGTCGTCTACGCGAGGCTAGGCGGGACACCCCTTGGCCACCTGCGGTGACCGGGACAGATCTACAAACACAACAGCTGACACCCCGGCTGGAGTTTGGTGGGGGATTTCAGAGAGAGAGGGAACGGAGAGTTTGTTGGTTTTGGTGGGGCTCCCGTGGAGAACTATTTTCTGATCCAGCCGAGGGTATGAACTGGAGACTAATGCAACGACATTGGTATAATGCCTATGCAATTTGCACTCATTGGCTTACATTTATTCAGAGAGCAGAAAACAAATCTAATAGATTGATGTTTGAAAGTGAGGAAATTGTCATTGTTGAAGAGGTATGCTTTATTTTGGGAGTGGAGAAAGGGAAACATCAGAGCGGTCTTTTTGAGGGATACATGTGGATGATTTTTTTTTTAAATCTTCACAAAAGTTTGCACATAATCCATCACAGTTTGGAATTGTCAAATTAAAAATGGATTATTTTTTTTTGAATTTTTTTTCTTCAATATTTACAAAGTTTTAACTTTTACAAGGACTCTCTCTTGACGGAAACAAGTTATCAACAAAGATCTGCCATCGGTTTTGTGTTGCATACTCTCTGCCGCCATGTTTACTTAAATCCACGATCTCACAATAATTTATAACGTCCAAGACCAATGCGGGGCACCCATGGCCAATAAAACTTTTTCCTCTACAATCAACAACAGGAAACAATTCTTTGAAACTTCTCTTGGGAAACAAAAGGGTAGAATAAACACTTTTTCGGGTCGGTTCGCTACAAAGCTCTCTCTCTGGGCTCAGTAGGACTGAGAAACATTGAGTCATCAAATACTGTTCCCGTTATTACATCGTAAATCAACGGTAATTGTCACCGAGCTACCTCGCGCAGCACAAATCACACTTCGGGTAAAGACCAAACGAGAGCCACCAAATTTTCCCAAGGAAGCTGAAAGGACCGACTGTAAATCATCACCCAGGGATTGTTTGCCATTTGGGGGAAAACTAAGTGTTTCTAGCACAATTTTCTGAGGGGGTACGGGGTATTTATTGTTAAAAATGCACAACAGCTGGAAGGTATGCCATTTTTTCCCCTGGCCCGGCAATAAAATCATACAAAGGCACTTGGGAGATTAAACCGAGGGTAGAAATTATAATTATTATATTGAACCTACACAAATTATGGGGCAAAATGGGAAAAAAAATCCCTCTCAAATTTGTTTCATATTCAACGGCAGTGACTATTGGATTTTTTCATCAGATTTTGTAGAATCAATTGTTGAAATGGCTTTTCGATGAACTCCATTTCAGCATTATCTTGTTTTATAGTGGACGGATGGGCCAATTGGATTGAAAGGGGACAAAGTTTCTAATGAATCAACCACATTTTAATTCCTGAAGAAGAAAAAAAAGAAGATTTTTCCAAAAATAATTGCAAATCAACACGATATTGCTAAACCAGACACAATTATTGCGAGTGAGTAGTGAACAGAGCAGTTATATATCCTCTGATAACTTTTGCTTTAATCAAACAACAGGAAAAAAAAGTTTTGGGGGGATTTGAAAATGTCAAAGTGAATCAACCAAAGATTAAGAATTTTTCTTCGGTTGTCACTGGACTAAAGTTCCAACAAAAATTCTGCCTTCTTTTGGCAAAAGTCTTTGGAATTTCCGAGCCCTACCCAGGTGCCACTCCTCCGCACCCCAACTGCTACAAATCCAGACACTAAGAGGTATCCGTCACGCCGGGGTGTCCCCCTCTCTGTCACACCCCTAGCCTTTGGCACCTGGCCCCCCTCAAGTGCCAATCTGTCAAACTCCATCACTGACACCCGGCCCTAGGGTTAGCTCTGAACGTCAGTCAAAACTCTAGGTGTGCTAAGTGGATTTTTATCAACGTCTTAATCAATTGAGCGGTCTTGCGTTCTAAACTGCTGTAATACTTTAATGCAAGGTTTGTCCATTTTGAATTTAAATTTTACAAATCTGCTTTGGCTACTTTTGAAAAGCTCAAAAGACCACTGTCGAGAACCTCCAACAATCTGTTCAATTGTTAAGTAAATAAAAGGCAGAATAATGTGAATATTTTTGCCAGTTGTTTACTCTAGCCATTTGTCAATTGGGATGATTTTTTTCAGTCTGGTCAACTTGTCATATTTGGCCATTTGTCAGTGGATGCCACCTGCAATTCTTTACAACTTGCCAAAATGTGACCAGATTTAATGTCATTTTGTCCACCAATAAATTGTGGACACTCTGCCCTGTGGTCAACTGCTCACTGCGGCCATTTTTCAGATGTACAATGTGATTAAAGTTGTGGCTAACAATCACCATGGCTATTACAATGTATTACTTTGTGTTGCTTGATTCAGTGGTGATGTTAATCTGACTGCTGAGAATGACATTACTTACTTGCATGCATGCAGCGTGGCACTGACCAGCTCGAGCACGGATGCAGCACAGTCGTCCTGCCCACCCTGTGTCCTCCTGCCAAATATCTGCACACAAAAAGAACAAAAGTACAGCCAACATTTCATTTAGAAATTTTGGAGAAAATGTATATCAACCTAAACGTGTTCTGGTACTAGACACATTTTTCAGACCTAGACAAAACTGTGATGAGGCCGGGTCCGAATCATTTGGCTATGACCGGAAATAACATACAAGTTTATGGGAAGTGGCTTAAGTCGCTAGCCAGCGGCTGCCATAGGTGTGTGTGTTATTCCTGGCAGTAGCCACATCCACTAACCAGTGGCTGCCATATGTGTGTATGTTATTCCTGGCAGTAGCCACAGTCACTAGCCAGTGGCTGTCATAGGTGTGTGTGTTATTCCTAGCAGTTGCCACAGTCGCTAGCCAGTGGCTGTCATAGGTGTGCGTGTTACATGTATTCCTGGCAGTAGCCACAGCCACTAACCAGTGGCTGCATAGGTGTGTATGTTATTCCTGGCAGTAGCCACAGTCGCTAGCCAGTGGCTGCCATAGGTGTGCGTGTTATTCCTGGCAGTAGCCACAGTCGCTAGCCAGTGGCTGCCATAGGTGTGCGTGTTATTCCTGGCAGTAGCCACAGCCGCTAGCCAGTGGCAGCCATAGGTGTGATTGTTATTCCTGCATGGTGGTAGCCAAGTGATTCGGATATGGCCTGATATACATGTACCGGTAGGACTGATATCTGAGGTTTCATGAAACTGACGACTGAGAATTGACGATGCCTACAATTTCAGGAGAGGAAACAAGACACAAACTAAATTCATGTAGGTAATATTAATTGCAACAACAACAACAAAATCCAGATCTGCCTGAATAATTAATCTCAATCAAAGACTCGCACACGATTGCACAATTGCTCATCTCGAAATGCAGACTTCCTGCCTGCAAAATTGACATTGTTCAAAACATGCTATTTCTGAGCTCTCTCGGTTGCTGCCGCTCTGGGAAAAAAACCTGCCCAGCCCTGGGCGACCCCTCCGGACCTTACAACATAATCACCTGTTTGCAGACAAAATGTGTGGCCGGGGGAGCCGTATTAATTGCACACATTTGATAGTCTGTCGCATCAGCGTGCGCGCTCGGCTCACATCGTCTTCAAGCAGACAATGTGGTCATGTGTAAGAACCGGGGCACACTGCCGGGCAGAACGGGGCCAAACGTACAAACGTACAGCCCGGATCCGTTAGTGACTCATCATCATGATATGAAATTCATACATGTGTGAGACAAGATAAGAATTGCGTTTATATTTCTTATCTCGTGTTCTAGTTATGTACCGAGGACTCTTGAAACCCAATACGTGCTGCAGTTTAGATGAGGTAGCAAATAGCTCATTTGGATGGGACAAAGGAAAGCAATGAATATCTATGAGGATTGAGGAAGGAGGAGAAATATACAGCAGTTACCGGTACATGCACCTTGAAGAAAATACCTGCAATCAGGTATATATACATGTACTACAGATAAGGAAGTATGTATCTGAAGATGCATGCCATCAAGTGATTCGCAGGCATGTTCTTTCCCGGTTAGATTATTGTAACGGGTTGCTTACAGAAGTCCCACAGATGCATATTAAGAGACTTCAAAGTTTGCAGAACTGGGCTGCTTGTGTCATCTTTAAGTTGGATCGCCGTCATGATGCCATGCCTCTTCTAAGATCGCTTCCTTGGTTACCAATTAAACAGAGGATTGTGTTTAAGATTCTTTTATTTGTATACAAATTCTTTCATAATCAGGCCCCAGAGTATTTTAATGAGTGTCTTGAGTTGTATCGACCTTTGCGTACTAATCTTCGCTCCAATGCAGATCCATCTCGGCTAACTTTTCCCAGGACTCGTAGTAAGGCAGGAGATCGTACATTCACTGTTACAGCAGCTAAGGAATGGAATGAACTTCCCTCCTATATTAAATCTGCTCCATCAGTGGATGTGTTTAAGAAGATCCTCAAAACATACCTCTTTCCCAATTGATGTATTATTGTTGTTTTGTTTGTATAATGTTTAATGATTTGTTGTTATATTGCTCATTACTACTGTAATCGCTGTGGTATAGTTATACTATGAATAGCATACCTAAATGCATAATAATAATAATAATAATAATAATAATAATAATAATAATCAAATGTAGGGAATAAAAAGTCAGGCGTTGATTTCAACCAAGGCTCTAAGTACACAAATGGGCTGAGCACCGAATTTGCTACGCCAGTAAAAAGTTACGGCCTCAATGATGAGAATACTGCTCAATAAAGGCAGCGATATCCTTGGATGCCATATGTAAAACCCTTCTGCGTGTCGGTCTTCCCAGACACCAAATTAAGTGGATTAATCAAATATTATCTGAAACGCAAACTGACAGAGCAGCCATTAGCCGTGTTATTGTATCCGGCCTGCACTGGCGTTCACACGTTCGACGGACAAATCAGTGGAGGCCCGCCAGCCCGCACGCCAGCCTGCACGACCACGGCACTGGGACGATTCCTTTAATTTCCGTCCAATAAAAACCCGGTGTTTTCTGCAATTAGTTACAGGGCAATCAGATAAGATTAGCGTTAATGGGAGACTGGCTGCCGGGAGATGGCGGCTGGTGAAACCGGACTTGCCACGGCCGGCCGGCCGGCGTGACGGGGTGATTAACATCTTGCTCTGAGATGTACAACGGTATTAGCGGCCGGCCCATTGAACAAGGCGTTGTTGCCTTAACGGCCCGGTAAATAATACTAGCTTTCAATTAAGGCTATCTGTTGAAGATCTTGCCCTGAACGACTGGCAATGTCAATTCTTGTGATTGTCTCTATACACATCTCAGATGAAAAAAACTAGTAAAATCATGACCTAAAGTACACAGTTTTTGAGATGCACGCACATCTGAATCAGTCCATTCACACAAAGCAAAGAAACAGAGTCCTCACCAAAACATGTAATAGTTATCAACATGTACGTGCATATTTAGATCATTGGTTGAGTCAGCATTGTGATATATGTGCATTTACATCAGAGTAATTTGGTAAAGCACGAAGCATTCAAAATCAGTATAAAATGACAAATGCCAGAGCTTTTTCAGAGTTGGCACTGTTGTGTTTAAGGTTGTGGTAAACATAGGGATATGCGGAGGATGATAGGAACCACATGTGAGGCCGCCTCTAGGACACATCAGCCTTCCGGCACCTGATCAACCTGCAGCCTCAGCACCAAAACTAAACAACTGCGGTGGGGGGAAAAAGCTTTTAAGATTCCTGTTCGTGCCAATGAACTTGTCAGGGTTGCCCTTTGTAGGGAAAAAAAAAAGGGAAGAGACGCTCTACTACGACACTTCCTCTCGAAGCTGTCAGGTCCTCAAGTGTAAGGTTGGGGAAGGTTTTGGGGTACTGTAAACACTCGAGTGGGGCCGGGATGAAGAGGGATCTGCAAATATACTGAAAATGGATGGTTTTGGGGGGATTATTTATTTAAGTTGCGGGTTACCGGGGCAGATGCCCAATTGATTGTAATGGAATTGGAGGTAAACAGACTGACATCTTTTGTGGATTGATTTCGTTTAACAGTGAGCAGATTTTTCGGTTGGCTGACATACATGTATGTGTACTGAATGTTTGCCTCTTTTTTTGTTTGTGTAACTTGGACTGAAGAATTCACATTTGTGTGAAGTGTACATATCATTTTTTATAGAAGATCCAATCGAATAAATTATAAGTTAATAAAACGCAATGTTATTATGATATCTGGGTTTACAAGCACTCCGATTTCATTTTAGCATCCAGTTCAGAACTATTTTCTACATCTACATACCTGTACATGTACAGGCAAAATGTGCAGTTTCTGCCGATCGATGCTGCAGAGATCAGTTTTCTCAAAAACATCTGCTCACCTGAATTAAACCAATTTTGGCCTGCGTTTCAATTTCCAGCCGTCATCGGAAGCAATGCCTCCTAATCAAAACTCCGTCTTGTATTCCCAAAATACTCGTTGAGATTTGGTTCGCGCTGCAATTTGTGGCCAAACTGGTCATCAAAAACTTTCTCCAAAGAGCAATCAAAGGATTTTCTTGACCATTTTAAGCTGCACCTCCATCAATGCAAAACCACAAAAGAAACAGAATTTAACATGCATTCCAATCATCCCAACGCCAACTTGTCAAACGGCAAGAAATCCCTGACAGGAAATCCAGCCTCAGTAACTCAATACCACCGCTCGTCATTTCACAGTGTACAGGATCTGTCATGTCCCATCCCTGACAAACATATCCATTGCAAATGAGCCGTGACATTTCTGAACTGGCTTTAAAGGATTGCCGTAGCACCGTGATGATATACCCGCTCCCATTGTGCCTGCTGCGCTATCCATTTCTCACTGAGCGTTTCAACAGCAAAGCTCTGTCGGTTTCAAAATCAAACTCAAGAAACAGTACATGAAGCACATCATGTTATTGTACATTACATACAAATTTTCACTTTAGAGTAGACACATAAATGGTTTCATATAGAAATGTTTGTTTGGCCATTCTCAGTTGACATCAACGATGTGATACGCGAGATGTAGAGTTGGAACTTTTTACACTCCTCTCATTTCTAGTAACTGAAAGGTTAAAAAATGTTTTGAAACTGATAAATTGGGCACTAAATACAGCACCTGCAGTTTTTCGTGTTTGGAATAATATTTAAACATTTCATCTGGGCTTTATTAATATTTATTTCAAAGTTGGACCATCAATGGTCATTACATTGTCCTCACAAACCAAACTGACAGACCCCACTTCAATTTTCCTCCATTTGAAAGCCGGAACTTTTCCAGCCCACAATTTAAGACATGTTGCACCCCTCCAAGAAGATTTCAGGCGAATCTTTTCCGTTCAAGCACGTACACACGTGTATACACAAACAAACAGGTAACTCCCCAGGCTTTTTGCTTCAACAACATCACGGAGCACGGCGAGAAACAACGACCGGGAGTCCCTTTGAAGCTCCCATCGGCATAATTGGGGAAAATCTAATCACTTTTGACGAGAGAGA